GACCAGCTGCAGAGCAGGGGGTGGAGAATGAATACTGATCACCTCCAAGGATTCCCTTCAAAGGGGAGACCAGTCACTCCTAAGCAACCTTGGATAACATTCCAAGAGCCATAGAACTGTTCCGCGAATATATTGTTGTTGAAATGCTGGATCCAAACAAAATAGATTTTAGGTCTTATACTGGCATGAATCTTTTGAAGTCCCAATGAGATGAAGAGAGGATTTAAACAGGGGGCCAGGATGGATGAGAGACATGGATTTTTGTCTTTCCATGCAAAAGATGCACAATTTTATTTATTTATTTAGTCTCAGCTCTGACCCAAACAATTCCTGTCATAGCAGACCTAATCCAAGAATTCAGCTACATAGTAGGCTCTTCCATTAATCAGAAAACCCACTCATGCCATTTGGCCTGCCCCCCCCTTTCAGGAGTTACTTTCCACGTGGCAATTGAACTGCTTTCTCGAGTTCTTTAAGTATTTGGTAATAGCATTACCAAAAACATTTTCCAGAATTCTAAGGGAATTTGGACAGACTTTGACCCAAAATTAAAGCTGCCCAAGATAGGAAACTCCCCCATTACATTAAATTTATAGGGCAACATGAATATTCTTCCCTGGTCCAATGTGTTGAGGAGCCCTTTTTCCACATCCGATTTCACATGAATCAGCCATTTTATGAGGGATTTCAAGCCAAACCATGCTTTCCCTTAAGGAAATCACTGTTGCCAGTCAAGCCAGAAGGTTCCAGTTGTTCCAACAGTACTTTAAGCCAGAAGATTGATCTTGGCCCCTGCACTCCAGTGGTAATCCACACTCACCCACCCACGTGGCTGAGTCCTACTTGAGCTACTGGAAATGTTTTTCTGGCCCCACTACAGAGGTGGAAATTCCTTGCATCCAACAGCTTAGTTTTCACCCCAGCCTGCTGTTCACATCACTTGAATGGCCTGGAAGGTGCTTATTCTTGGGGTCACAGTTGACCCATACGCACATGCTAGACTAATGTGAAGGTGTAAGCCAGATTTAATAAATAAATAAAAATAAAAATTTGAAAATAGACAGAGAAGCCTATTGTGGAAGGCATAGATATCTGATCAGGTTGTGACGTTGGACCAACTTTGTGTACAGCAAATTAAAATGGGCTGCTGCATTACAAGAGGAATTTAGCTTACTAAGCATACATATTGGGCAGAATGTCCACGTTCCCGTACCTGTTTTTGGTCTGCCCATTCTGCAGCATTCCTCAGAGCTCTAGAAGTCTGGTTTATCAAGCCTGTTAAAGCTAGTGGTCTATTCAAAATGGCTCTATTGTACCTCCATGAAAAGTAGGAGTCAGAATGCCCCCTTCACAAGTCTCATCTCAGTCTCCAAGGTGCTGGTGATGTAGGGCAGAAATTGGGTACTGTGCCCACATCAAGTGGAGTTGCCCAGCTGCAGGCCCCTTTTGTGATAGTCTTGGTATTAATGTTAGTCCTGAAGACCTTGCTACATTTCAGAGATGCATGATTTGTTGAATCACATCCGTGCCGTTTGGAAGCAAGTCAAAAGCTATGGCTCTTGGGTCAGCCAAATGCATGATGCTCCAACAGTGGAAAGAGTTTGTCACCTCCCGTGTTACAATGGATCAGATTTGCACTCTGTGTTCTTATTTGAACTGGCAATGCAGCTGTGATGTATGGCCAAATACAAAAAAATGCAAGAGCAGCAGGCTGTCTTTGAGACTGAGGCATCATATTTGACAGTCTGATATCTATGGCCTTAGCACATTAACCTACCTCAGAACACCTTCACTTGTGCCCCTTCCCTAGTTTGACTCAACCTTTCTAGCTTTGTTTGAATGTTACTATATTTTGTTTGTGCTAGAAACTGAAATGAATGAATTTTCATTAATCCTATACTGGGGCCTGTAAGAAATCCACACACGAAAGCAAGAAAGCTTGAAACTAGCAATGGGCTAGTTTCTGTTCTGAAATGAGGGTTGCAGAAAGGTCTTCTATTGGAAAGCTTCTATTAATTTGCTTTTCCATGTGTCACTTCATGTCTTGCTTTTACTCTTGACATTAAACAGAAAACTCTCAAAATTCCCTTCAGAAGCTATTTTGCCTCCACCGAAATGAGACAAGGTTAGCACTAGAAACCTGCCTTCTTAACAAAAGCAGGACACACTGACCCTTCGGGATGCCCTATTCGCCATCTGCAGCTGGATCTGGTGAAAATAGCCAGACATAATCATGAAGCATAGCAAATGAACGTGAAATGTGGGTCCTTTCCATCATGAAAACAGAGCTGAGTTTGTAACAGTCCTGTTTTCTGGAAGTGCAAAGACTCATCAAAGCATTTCTGAGGTAAACCAAGTCTGCCTAGGAGGGTACCACATTCAAAGGTCTGCATTTGCTTGGTAATTTGCCAGGCCTCGCTTTGAAAGAGTTAGGGATTGTGCTGGGCAACTGCTTTGCATTTGCACTCTTGTAGCCTGTCAAGGAGATCTTAGAGGCAGAAATAAACATCTAGGATAGTGTTGTTCAAAGGTAACGCCAATTGGCCTCTTTATAGATCACACAACATTTCTCTGTTATGTGAAGAACCTTCCAGTAAGGTGTGTTTAGAACGCAATCCTATGCATGCTTAAACATAACATGGCTGAGATGCTAGGAGCTGTAGAACATTTTCTGTGCATATGATTGCACTGTTGGAAACTTCTAGTCTGGCACATTTTAACGGCCAGAGTAGAATAATACCAACTATCATTGAAAAATACCGCATGAATGCAAACACTCATTTCCTTGATCATTGTTGCCTTCCTTCCTTTAATAGAAAGGGATCTTGCCAAATAGCACAATGAATTACTTTATGGTGTGAATGTAACTCCTTTTGATTTACAGACAGCCACAAATTTCAGTTCTGATTCACTCCTCGTGATCTCAGAGGACTGGAAGAAAAGTCTATAAAGACAGTCAGATCAAATGTACTCTTTATTATTAACAGTTTGTGCTGCCACAACATTTCAATTCCCTGAAGATTTCTGGATAAGACTAGACTTTTTTACTGCAATGCGTGAAGTATATTTTCTATGCCACAAGTTTACTGATTTAGTGGCATATACATGCAATGGATGGGTACTCACATTACGGAGAAAAATGATCCCCTTGTCAGACAGTTGTAATGCACAAAACAGCCCTGATTTCACACCAAATAGGAATGTTATGATCAAAGACTTCTGTTTTTCCTTTTGCTGTCTCTGTGTGTCTTTCATATGAGCAGATTTATGGGTCAATAATATTTCATAACGCACTGTGCTGTGAAATGGCGGCACAGGGCATTCCACTTGTGTTTCAATATGAACTAAGAAACCACTGCAGTAAACTTTCAAAGTAATATTGCAAGAAGTCATAAGCCGCATCTCCTCAGTGGGCAACACTCAAGGGTTTGCCAGGGCCTCTGGACCTGCACACAGCTGCACGGGCGACCTTGACAAACACAATGGGGTCATTCTCAACACTGAAAGTTCATCCATAGTTCAAAAACTACATAAGCATCTGTTAAATGGCAAGCATTGCTTGTGACTTTGCTTCTGGGCAAAATTCAAATGGAGAATTACATTTCTAAATTTAAAAGCGTATGCCACATTTTTTTTTCAAAAACCCTGATGATGAGAATATATCCAATGGTAGAAGTCAAAGATTTCTGTTAAAGAGAAGACATGTTCATCTGGTGTCTGAAGCAGATTTTCACGGGACGCAAGTCTAATCAGCATCTGTTTTCTGTGGCAATAGTGCTGGGAGCTAAAGGATCAAGAGCTGGGGAGTTTGAGTTAAAAGCCCCACCTCTGTAACTAAGTCAGCTAGTTTCCCATGCAGACAAGGAAAATGATAGCACTCGTAATTTTATGTGTGGGAAGAATCATGTGTCTGCTGGTGGAAGAGGGGAAAAGCAACTTTTTGCTCAGGCCTTCCATGTGCAGGACACCCTGCCACCTTCCTCCTGCGGTTCCTCCAATCCCTTGGATCAGGGAGGGCCACAGGAGGAAGAGGCATGCAATACCCTTTGCTCTCATTTGTCAGCAGAAGCTTCTGCTCTACCATTCATGGAAGGGCATGGCTGGATTTAATCCAAAGATTATAAGTCACTTTGCTAAATAGATGTGCTGTTGTCCATTGTCCTGCATATAAAGGAGGCGTATAATTTGAAAAATTTGGTTTTGGATCAGGGATTAGTATAATAATAGAAAATCATCAAAATATGTGTGCATGGTTTCACTATATCCTCATTCTGCAATTTAGTGTTATATTGCTTATGGTGATTGCTCAAACCCATGTAGTCGATCAATTCACACACAGTCCCATTGACTGATGGGACTGCACTACTTCTGGGCAGTTTCTTCCAAAGAGCCATGGATGCTCTACGGTTCTGAAGGAGCAGAAGGGTCTAGAGAGGCAAGCACCAGGGATAAAATGCAGCCCAAGTCTCACTTAGAGTAGAACCACTGAAATGCATGCGGCTTAAGTTAGCCATGATTAATTCAACTCAAAGCTATTGCAATGTGTCTACTGTTAGGACCTATGTTGGATTTTACCCCAAAATGCCACAGGAGGTGACCATGGAATGTTGCTTCTATTTACACTGGGTAAATGCAGTTTCACAATGCAGTTTTCCATGCTGCTATAAACTCACAAGTGTGCCCCTTTCTTTACAAAACCATCCTAGCTCATCTGACTTTCCTATTCCTTCTCCTCATGCAGCCAGTTAATATTCTTGTTTATTTATGGCACAATAGTGTTTTTGTAGAAGAGCATGAATAGCATACTGTGCTTACATATTATTCAAATACTGTTTTATTAAAAGAATAAAGCAAATTGCTTGAAATGTGATGGAGGATGGAGATAAATTACAGGAGAATTTGTACTGCAAATACTGATTTGGATCTTTCTAATCATGTATGACATAAACATGGTACGGAACATGCATCTCTTGAAACAGAAGGAATACAATGCCAACAAAGAGAAGAGACAAGATTTATTTTATATTTCTTTTTCTTCTTGCAAGCAAAACTGCTTTAATATAAAATGAGTCCAATGATACAGTGCTATCATCCACTCAAGCAAAAGAAAACCTCACATTGACATGAATGCGGATTATACTGGCATTCTGATGCAATGGTATTAATTGCTTTATCCAGATTGTGTCTGCCCTCTTTTAAAGCAATGGCACAGAAAATGCTGCAACATACTGGAGTACTGGCAAGTGCTGTTTAAGTAACTTTCTCCGTGAATTTTCTGGAAGATGCTGTTTAATTAACTGTAATGTGAACTGTGTCTTCAGTTTCTTAATATCCCTGTCACGTGCTTTTAGTGTCCACTCTGCAAGGTTAAAATGCATAATTTTGCCTTTTGTCCTTTTTATTTGTGTTAAGACAAAGTTATGAGGTATCCTTTACTGTTAATGATGAAGCAATAGACAGGCCTTGTTGACGCAGGACGCAAAGACTTAACTGTACATTCAGTAATTGCTTTTAGTGACCTCTCTACATGTTACTGCAAACAATCGTTAGTTTACATTAAAAAAATCTTTCTCCTGTCCACATAGGATATGGCATAAACAAACAAAACAAATCTGACAAAAATTATACACATAAGATAAACAAGACAAATACACAAATAAGGCCATCTGCAAAATTAAAAATCCAACTCTCGTAATAATTCACAATAATTTCTACAGAATATTTTACATCTTACAAACTTAAATATTTAATGCACAGGGAAAAGAAGACCTTGATGAGCCAATATCACATTATCTTTTGGAGGACTTTTCTAATTTGCTGGCGGGGGATCTTCTTTGTGGAGTTGGAATTTTGGAAGGCTTGCCAGTTGCTGACCGAGTACTTGGTCGGGGTGTTGGCCTGATGGAGGTATGAACAGTTTCTGACACGTCCGAACACACAGACTGGATTTCAGAAATGTCAAAGTCAGAGGCGTCACTGCCCCGGCGGCTGCTTGCTCGGCTGCCAGCCTTGCTTCCTGCCCGACTTCCAGGCCTGCTTGGGGTCCTTCTGTTTTCTGCAAGAGAAGTGGAAAATATATCCATTGTATGAGAGTGAGCTGGGCAAATACAGCAGGCTGCCTTTGACGGGTCTTTGCCCTCCTGCCTGGGCTTTGGCATTAGCAGGCGTGCCACAGGAATCCGGTGTGCACCCAGAAATCTATTCAGCCAGGGCTTTGGCTATGCATTAACAGGGCAGAGAACTGTTCCCAGCACCACCCACTGGGCTGCTGGAATCAAAGCATTCTGCTTCCAGTTAGAAATGTTTCAGAACACGGTATTTCCAGCAGTCACTCTCTCTCTGGCATGAAAAAAACCCTCTATCTACATCAAGATGCCACCTTAGCTTTGCATTTTGCGTCTAGCTTGACTACGGAAGGAATCAGAGCATCATCAGAAACACTGCTATGCTGCAAGGAAGGGATTGCGTCACATCAAGTTGGCTGCACCAGGCTGCCATCAAGCAGCCACACTGTGGATGCTTCAATAAGCAAAGCACAAAGAGTGGGAACTCAATGATTCTCTTACATATAGCAAGCATTACAAAGCAGGAGAAACAAAAATGGATTGGGGTACTGAAAATGAATTGTTTACATGGCTGCTCTAAAATGAGCCTGCTGCAGAGCCCCTAGAAATGTAGTCCCATGGAGGAAGTAATGTCCCATTCAGGGCAACTTAGATGCCATGCTAAGAGGTGGCATCTCCTGGGATTGTCATCCTACACGGCAGTCTAATTTTAATGGTATTTTACAAGGTAGCTGCATTCCAGAGATTTGTTCTTCCAAAGTTTTCAATACCCACCTGCAAAATGTGTCCTGACTCTTGTAGCTGCTGTTGAAATTAGGCCACTGTCTTCTCCACAGTGGAAACCTTTCCCTGACAGATACCCGGGCAATCTAAGTTTACTCCCTTGTATCGGAGTCCCCTGTAGGACACAAGGATAGTTGACTAAAACAAGTGCATTAAAGATCAACGGAGAACTGAGCTGAAGTCAGAACTCCATCCACACCACCTCCGTCGGACCATGCATGGCAAAGTACAAGCTATGCCAGAAAGTGATTGCATAACACTACTTAGTAATGAGTTGGAAACCAGACAGTAAAAACATATAGAGTGTTAAGCGCTGCCTCTGCCCCGATCTGTCTCTGTCCTCCCTGTGGTTTCCACATGTCTGCTTCAGACCACAAGCCACACGAGAGGAGGGATTTCTGCCTGTGCAACCATCTATGCTAATGCCATCATATAAAGAAGCATAACCCTGATACGTCCAGTTGCATTTACCCACCAACCTAGAATCACACGTCATGCATCTGACTAAGTGGACTTTTATCTGTGAAAGCTTATGCCACAGTAAGCTTATCTCTAAGTAAATGCCCTCCAGATATTGCAGTTTAAAACTCCTATCAGACGCAGCCAGAATAATCAATGGTCAAAGCAAATGGGAGCTGTAGCCCAAATTATTGAGAACACCCTAGATTGTTTCCTCCTGCTCCAAGGTGGCAAAAGACTTTATTTTAAACACATTTCCTGTCTGGAAGGGATATCAGTTCTAAAGAAAATGATTCCTACTTGCATGTTGAGTCTTGAATCTGCGTCAGTTTATAATTCTGGGCAAGAGCCCAGTGGTATGTACAGAATTCCATTTGGCGTGCCATTTAATATTAGGCAAAGCTATATGAGGCTGGATCCAGACTCAGTCATACTTAGAGCAGGCCACTGAAATCTCTGGGACTTCAGTTATTCATGACTGATGTCTCATTAATTTCAGTGCGCATCTCCTCTAAGTATGACTAAGTCTGGACTCAACCCATTATCATAATCTGAAAAAGGGTTGTTCTCACTGCTGGATTAGTACGACGTATATTTGAGGTCGAGCAGGTACTGCAGAGGATGACGTGGTTACACGATTCTTTAGTTACTGCTTATAAAAACTTTGGCCATGAACACATATGCTTAATATCAAAAGGTGAAGTGATGCTTACATTCCAGAATTAATGTAACTACTTTAAAGGATTGATGTTTAATCAGTAAGGCATTGGTGTTTAATCAGTTAATTAAGGGAGTAATATTTAGTCATTAAGCTAGTAAGTTTCCACCTGGGTTGAGTGGGGAACAATGCCTATCTCTCCAATAAATGCCTGGCTTTTCCCATTTTTGCTAAGCTCTTCTCACACCCTGACACTTCCCTGGTTTGTCAGCAAGCGTTTAAGATACTCCAGATAGTCTCTACATGATCCAACAAACTTTTTGGATAATCTTTAGCTATCAGCTGAATAAACAGAGTAAAAGTAAGCATAATATTCAACACTGCCAGAAATTCATACTATATTTTAAATCCTATGGCCATTTAAAAACAATTATTCTATATATGAAATAAACTTAATTCACAGGAAGGATGAGTCAATGGAACAGCTATGTGTTTCTCTTTCAGAAAGCAAAGCCATACAAAAATGTGTGAAGTTAGTGCTGTAAAGAGCCAGAAGGAAAGTATCAGAAGTCTTCTTTTTATTTGTACAATAGATAAATATAAGCAAGAATGACAATGACACACTATTCCCTGAGCTAATGCTTGATGAGCTTGGTACTAATAGGATACAGTATTTTGTTAGAAGATAAGATCCAGTGGAAATTCCATTGATTTCGGGTCATGTATCTATTATAGCATGTATCACTAAAACATAGGGAACTCCTGCATTCTTTGATGTCTATAAATTCTTGGTGTTCTTATGTATAACAAGAGGACAATCAACACTCTTTTCCTGTGAGACTACAATTGGGTTCATATGACATGACAGCCCACAATGGGCAGATTATGGTAATGGGTTGAGTCCAGACTTAGTCATACTTAGAGAAGATGCGCACTGAAATTAATCAAGGTGGGCTGCCATGTTGTACAGACCCAGATAGATTCTTGCGGGGAAGACTGTTTGAAGGCGACACACCATTCTAACAACCCATGGTTCCTCTTGAGCTTGTGGTACCCATAATAGGTGGTTGTGTCATTTGAACCTGGGCAACTTTGGATGCTGGGAATTGGGTACGAAGCCACTTAGCAGGAGCAAGAAAAACCCCTTTCCGCTCTTGCCAAGTTTGCCTGGGTACCTGCTAGTGCCAGCTGCTGCACAAGTGCTGAAACGGCACCTGTGAGCAACTGGTCCTGGCTGTCTGCTGCAGAAACTGCAAGTGGCTGTCCTCTTGCTGCGGCTGTCTTGTCATGTATTCTTTCTCTAACAAAGATTGTGAAAGCTGGCCGGTTTTCATGAACCCCATTTTGACAGCTTTTGACATCCCCTTCAAAGTGCCCAAATAGCACCTGAAGGGGCTGCTGGTGGCTTGTGAACCATTTAAAAATAATGTACGCACAATGTGTACAAATATGTTCACTCTTCGTCTTAATTTTATAGCTGCACTTGCATAACTGCAGAGGTTCACAGAAAATTGTGTAAAGTGAAACGTTTTAGCTGGGTCATCATCCTAGGGTGTACCCACTGTCAAATGGACGGGCAAATCTCAGGGTCCCCTTTAAAACTGAATTTTCTCTGGGCAATAGTTAATTCTTTACAGGATCATATGGCTGTATGATATGCAGGTAAAATGATACTGGAATAAGTGTAAGAGTTTGAAAAATCGTGTACTTAACAGAACTCTCCATCAGGCAGAATACGAAAGCAGAACGTTATATATCTAACTATCTTTCTAGAGCCGGTGTGGGCGAATTTCCATCCTCTGGATGTTTGGTCTACATCTCTATAATTCCTCACCTTGAGCTATGCTGGCTAGGGTCAATGGGAGTTGTAGGCCAAAACATCTGGTAAGTTGCCCTCCCTGATCAAGAGCACTCTATATAATTTGAATTATACATACATGAGATTCAACACATACAGAGTGGATTACAATTTTGAGTGTAGTTATGTAACTTAAAGGCATGCTTAACAAGGTCAGACGAACTTCAAATGATTTACCAATATACAAGCTAAAAAGGAGAGAAAATAAAATTGGTGGATAGAAGGCCGAAAACAATAGAGTGCATTAATATACAAGGTACAGCACAGTTGGACAAGGGACTGTAGTCACTGTTAGCTAAGAGTACAGTTTAGTGAAGGAAGTGTTGTTAGGCTAGAATATCCATCTATTACTGTACCTCTGTGGATGACACTTGATATTCAGAGCACTCTGGTGGTTTACAAGGAGATGTCGTTTTGCTGTTTATCAACCATGGCTTACCATAGTTGCGTGTTAAATGATGGGGTGTCTGCATGAAACAATGGCAAATCACAAATGTGAAGAACAGTCGATGGAACACAACGTCATGGAGAGGAATAGTCAGATTATGAAAACTGTATCTCACAGTAAAAAGCAAAAATAAAGGACACTAAAACAAGGCAGGAACAGCTGACCACAAGCATTCTATACAAAAGTGGAGGTATGTGTGTTTGTTATAATGCAGTGGGAGGGTTAATGTTTTTCTCCTTTAAAATTTGTTCCATTTTCTAATTAGCTTACATGTTTTTTTCCCATCTTGCAGGAGCGCTGCAATTGTAAGGGGGGAAAACAATAAAAAACTTTGTTAGCTTCCTTTGAAAAAGTGTAGAATTAAAATTTCCCCTATTGAACTTAGGGTAGCATTACTGCAAATTGTTGCAAGTGTGGCCTCGTTTTATGAACTGTGCTCAAACATTAGCTGCACCATTCAAATCCTACCTTGGGTGTCATTGCAGAAGCAGCTGGTGTTGGAGTTCCTTGTGCCGGTGGGTTGGATGCAGACGTAGATCTGTTGGGTGATGCTCCCCTTGAAGAAGGTCGGGACCTGCGCCCTCGGGGCCGGAAGGCTGCCATGCTCTGGCTAGCTCCATCTGCCAAAATGAATTTCTCACGGAGCTCCATGTTTGTCCTCCCTTTTGCTGCAGCAAGTGAAAAAGACAGGTTGAGGTTTGATTACTTCCCTGTCTGCTCTTCCCAGCAACTGGCCTTGCCAAGTTGCAACAAATAGGCCACACAAACAAATCAAACACATTAGTGAGTAATGCATTTGTTTGAGACAAAAGAGTTCATTTGCAGAATATGCATATCTAAGATTTTATGCCAGCAAAGATGAACCGCTCTCAACGGAAATCAGCATGAAAATGGAATGGCTCAACATGCTACTGAGTTACCAATGCACAGACACAACCTGGAGGTCCATTTGACTAAAGCTACCACTGTTTGGATGATTCAGAAATATGCTGGCTACAATGAATAAACGCTAAGAGAAAAGCATAAACCATATTAATTCTAAGCTATAACATAATGCAGATTGGCAACATGCAATGGCAAACGGACACTCCCAAACTAGAAAGAGTTGATACTAGGCACAGGCACACGGAGGTATAAAGGCTGACGTGAGAACTGTCCACATGGTTCAGATGCGTAAATATGTTAGCGTTTGTTTGGGTTTCTCTGTATTAATAGCAATCACTTTTGAAACACTCTCTTCAAGTGTGTCAAAGGAAATTTAAAGGGAAGCTTTCAAGCACCAGCCAGTGCAGCAAGTGTTAAGCTAAAAAATGTGATACGTGAAGCATTTTGTTAAATATATATTTATATATATTACAGCAGAGTGGGAAGGGATGGAAAAGAAAATAAGAACAGGAGAGACAAAGAGAGGGATTTGCCAACCTATAGTAGGCTGAGTGGTAATTGAAGAGTTTGATTCCGAACGTAACATTTTACTCCCATGATGATGAACTAGAAAAAATGACACAGGATATGGGTCATATTAAAAGAAAATTGTTAGCAAGAGAAGAAATCAATTACAGCAGTTGCATATGCAAGAGATTCAGAGCTGCAGGCCGAGAGACAGATCTTAAGAGATCAAAAGTTCTTACTAACTGTCCCTAAGTTAGGTCATGTTGTCTTAAACAAAAGAAAACACCCCTGGCATATTCTCAGTTACAGATAGTCCCATGTCTTCCATTAAAAGAAGGGCTTCTCTGCCAAAATAAGAGAGGGAATGAGGAAGGGGGGGGAGAGATGTGAGCGGAACAAACCAATGCCATCCTGAGACTTAGCACTCGCATGAAATGAGCTCACAATATACCATATGGTGTTTGACTAGAATGGAAACTGGATCCCATGAAGACCCCCAACAACTTCTCTATGCAATTCACACTTTTCCTCAGTGGCCTCCCCTAAAATTCAGTATTTTCATTGCAGATTTGATAAAGAATCCACCAGGTTTCATTTGCTTTCCAGAGAATGTTACCTTAAAAACCCTGCTGCCCAATGAAACAATGTGATCGAAGTAGCTCAGATTTTTGCAAAATCAAAGCTTTTCTCTCAGACTCATAGGTAGTGACGCGGAAAACTCTGCATGCATGTTGGCGGAAAATCCGTTCTTAAATCAGCAACCTAAACATTTCTTAGGGATGTGTGTGTAAGGATAACTATTCTCATTACTTTTAGAAAATCCAAAATCTTCCATATTTGTATGTGCTGCTGTGTTAAAGAAAGTCATTCCTGCTTTATGACTACTGGGAATATAATTTATTTAATTGATCGCAGTAGTAAATACGGTGGGTGCAACTTCCTTGGCTTTTATAGAAAATTGATAGAATTTAGATATGACTCAATATATGAATACAGAAGCAGCTATTTATATCATCAACCCCATACAACCACTTTGTATACCAATGTATTGAAAATGTACATGACCTTTCAACATAATTTGAATCTTATTTAGATTATTACATTTAAGCAGTGGCTTTAATTAGAGACTGGAAGAAGAAAGGTTCATTAACTGGCTTTTTATCAAGTCAGGGAAGAAACCCCATTTAATCTGATTCATTATAATACTGCAAGAGTCAATTACAATCAGAGTTGGATCTCTTAATGCTATTTATGTCCTGTTAGAGTCTTGAGAGGAGAATACGAGACGTGGTGATGGAATGCAGACTCCGTAGCTATTTCTGCTTAGGGTGCCTTTATTAATTCCTGCAACAACAGGAATGTAGAATGTGACTCAAAGAGAATGTAAATACAGCAGAACTGAAGCAATTTTTCATGGGAGATGCAGTTCACCCTGCTTCTCAATACCCACTGGTAACATCCACTCATACGACATTTTATTCTGCATTTGGAATCTCAAACTTGCAGTATGTTTTTAATTGTATGTGATAAAATGGTGGATGGGCAATGCAGAACTGGCCTGCCCTGATCAAAGAAAAAGAAACATAAGTATCACTCCAAGAAATGCTTATACTGCCACAATATGTATCTTTCTTTTTTAACTCACAGCATGCTGTTTAGACGTCAGTGCTTTTTAACAACCCAGAGAAGAAAAATTACATGTACTTTGGCTGCTTTTTGTTCCCTGGAAGCAAGCACTCCATTCCCCACCACTCTTTTAACATTCCATAACATTTCCCAGCAGAAACATCAGCAGCAAAATGGGTGAATCCTTAAAAAAAAAACCCTTTGGAATCAATGAATAGCCCCTGCTGTACTTACCATTCCCCTTGAACTTCTTTATTCTCCTGCTGGGGTAAGCAAGCTGCTTGTGTCTGAGATTTTAAAACCTTCCACAAAGGGGAAGGCAACATACCTGGAAAGCCTTTCTCTGAGCGTGTTACAGTGCGCACTAGGAGTCACCACAGGGGCTTGAAAACATTGGCCAAAAATGTATTCAGAGCTTCCCTGCTTTCCCAGGCTTTGTCTCCAAAGCCCCAGTGATGTTCACATGCTTCACTGTCCCAGGTCCTTGACAGCATCTCTTCTCTCAAAGAAACTACCAGGCAAAGGGGAACCCTGGTAGCCGGAAGGCAGAATTCAATTTCAGAGAAGCTTTCAGAGGCCACATCCCACTGGTTGGCGGGACCAAAGGCCCAAAAGGATGGAGACAACGGCAAAAGGATGGGACCAAAAATATTAAAAGTGGCAGATAATGTTAGCTTAATGCTTTTGCTGCCAGTAACTAAGTTCCAGGAGGGACATTTCTACCTTTTAGAATAGAAGGGAAATTGCACAGAAGCTGGAAAACTGCTGAATGACTGGTGGTCGGAGGAAAAGGATGTGTGGCCTTCTGGGGAGCATCAGAGGACCAGAGTAGGACCTCAGGAAGCTGACATTTTGCTTGCATGCTTGAGTTCCCCCCACAAACACTTATTTTTTGGGGGGGGCCAACACACGCATCACAGCGCTCATAAACTGTTTGGAATCAGAAACCAGAAGTAAATCAGGAGAAAACCCAGAGACTCCCCCTGCCTCCCTGGTCTATTCACTACTGCCAAATGTACATTGTGACACCATATTGGATGCCAAACAATCAGAAAAAACAAGCAAGCTAGAACTTGAGATTCTAAGCCCTCTGGACCGGTTGTCCAAGTGTTCTGAGTAAGTCAGCAGTTATTTTCCTTTGGAGAACTGAGTAGCACAAATAATGGCTTGGAGATGCCCAGTTGCTGATTTTACCCCAGCATGGTATGCCGTATGCTGCTACCTGAAAATATTTCCCATAAATTAATCTATTGAGCCAAGAGAAAAGCGAGCTGGAAGAAAACAGGGCTGGAAGCAGCAGCTGTGGGCAGTTCCCTGAGTGGCTTTTCTGTCCCACACTAGGACTCAAATGGATGGATTCAGGCCACCATGGGAGCAAACAGCACACTTCTGCTCTTGGCTGGAGCTTCGGCACCTGCCCCCCTGGCCCTAACAGGGCACCAACACTGTTGAAACTGGCAACCTTAAAATGAGGATCTGTGTAATCCCAGGCTTAAATATTTCTTGCATCCAATATGAAAAATCAAAATCACACTGCTTCCTTTCTAATTTGTTTCAGCAATGACGAGAAGGGAGTTCTAACAGGCTTTTTCTTGCAGTTAAGATCGCCACTGTACTTGCTGGGTGAAGAATCTGCTCCCAAATCTGAACTTCTCAGATCAGCACACTGTACCTAGCAGATCTAGGCTGCAATCTACTGAACCCCTTTTTCCTTCCTTTATCCTTTTTTCCCCATGAGCCTAGCTTTTCCTAACAGCATGAGATGGCTTTGCCACATGCTCTGCTCCTTCATGACCCCACCCCTAAAGAAAATTAGCCACAAAGAACTGAGGAAAACACGAGTTAAGCAACAGACAGAGACGGGCGGCTAATAGTTTCTCCTTCTCCTGATGTGCAGTTTCTGACTCTCCTCCAGCTTTCTCAGACTGTTGGGGAATTTTGAGCCAAAAGAATTCTGAGGAAGTCAGGCTCTCGCGTGGTGCCCATCAAGCAGTTTTCCCCAACATGGTGCACTGCAGATGGCTGTGGGAATGCTAGGAATTGTAGTCTAAAGCATCTGGAGGGCCCTAGGTTGTGGAAGGCTGGAGTAAAGCATGGGCAAGGTCTACAGTTCCTTTGGTACAGGTTCTTAACAATACTGAGATGTATATAAATAAGTAGAACACTTTAGGAGTGAATCGGTGTTTAACCAAAGTAGGGATTTATACAAGTTAAATTTCATCATTCCAACCTCTGCCCCCAGTTAATCTATGACAGCAGTTGTTATACACTGTTAAAGAGCTTGATGTTCATAATGAAAGACCTTTTCCTACATACCTCTGCAGGGATCATTTTTCACTAAGAACTCATCTAGTGCCATCCATCCACCTCCAACTCGAACCATAACGGTGCTCCGCAGAATACGGACAAGACGGAGTTGCTGGGAGTCACCAAACTGTGCAGGAAGAGAGATAAAAGATGCTGAAGGCTTCCTCTAAGTTTTAAACAGCCATGTGCACTCCAAGCCAAGTGGGTTAAGATTAGCCACATATGCTCTTAAATCATTAGTAGAAAAATCACCAAAGATGTTTGTATTATGCATATGAAAAAGGTTTGTTTCAAGTTGAATGCAACTGCATTAACCCAAAAGGTAGCAATGAGATTGCAGCAGAAGGGAGGGGTGAAGGAGAAGGGGAGGGTAGAGCATATGGGTTTGCTGCAGGGCTTAATTTTGTGCCAAATTCTTGAGAGTCCTATTATTTTTTCTGAGATTGTTTCAAAGGAAAAAAGGGAATAGAACACATGGGGGTATAATCAGTGGGCTTGCTTCTTCAACAATGAAACCTTCACTGACCTCCCCTTGCAGAAATGGTAACCTCAAACTTCCACTGAAATGTGGATTAGAACTCATCCTAAGCTGAGGAAAACACAGGTTTCTTATAGCTCCATCAAAACAGTCAGAAGAATAGGCTTTGCAGGTGCTGAGTTACTTCAGACGCTCTTTCTACCCTCCTGCTTTCCAGAAAGCTGCCCCTTGAGTTCCAGAGAAGTGCTGTATCAAGCAGTGACCATGGAATTGCAGGACTGAGCCATATTTTCTTCTGTCACTGGTTATCGCCTTTCCCAGGACGAAAATGGCAATATTCTGCAAGCCTCTTCTCCCACCTGCTCTTTGCAGGGCAGTAGAACGTACGTATCTGCTGGACTCTTGTTACAGACCGCCACACACCCACATGACTTTCAGTAATTGGTTTTTATGCCTAGTTTATCTTTTAATCTTCATTAGAGGCTGAGGTAACCCCAGTATACTGATCCAACATGTAAACACTCCTGTAAGTATTTTTTAAAAAATGACTGGTTGGTGTCACCAAGGCAATTCCCTAAACCCGAAGAAAGGCAATTTTGTGAACCTTTTTAATGGGAGGGAGACTTCGAAGGCTGTGGAATCCCTCTTGCCAATGTCATACTTTCTTAAAGCTCTCCTCCACCTTCAGTAATAAACAGACTATCAGCTGTGCTACTGGTACAGTTTATCTGCTAGGATGAGCCTAGAGCTTGCACAAATAAAAGCATGTGTATGGGGGTGGGGAGGTGTTGGCATCTGTGAAAGCTGAAAGGCAGGATTGGGCAGGATGTGGACTACAGATGTTTTGGCCTGCAGTTCTCCAAAGCCTGCGCCAGCACAGCCAACAGTGAGGAACCATGGGAGTTTCCAAGGACAGCAAGGGTGCAAGACGGCTCCTTTGCAATACCTTGTCCAGAAGAATAATCAACTATGTTGGCTCTAATTGTGGCATGGCAGACCAGCATCACCTTCGGGACCACACACACCTCCAATCTCCTTGTTGGTTTGAAGGCTGGTTTTGCTTTTCAAAGGCTAAATGGGCTCACAGAGCACTCGAAGGGGGAAAATGGGGTCTCCAGCCACAATCTCAACATGATGATCAATTAGCTCTCAGACAGTGTCCTGTGTTACGGTGCAGGCATACAAGCTTCAGGGTCCTTTAATAGGCACAGGCAGGGAAGCGAATATTCAAATTGAAAAAACAAACAACAAAAAACAAACAACTGATATACTGCAGCCTTTGAAAAAAGTGGTAATCTAAGCATTCATTAGACCCGATTCCTTTGCATACCAGCAAAAGTTTTCTTAAACAGCATTTTATTTACTTTTATTAAGTGATCCGTACTAGTCCAATAGGGAAAGTCTGGTAAATTGTGAACCTTCACAATTTGAAGGGCCAAAAGTATATCTTATTTGCCTTATATATACCCACTTCAAATCTATTTGTCCTGACATGAGGCATGAGTCTCTGCAACAAGAATATTTATTTATTTATTTATTTATTTTTCGATTTATATCCCGCCTTTTTCCTACAAGGGGCTCAAGGCAGCTTACATCATTCTCCTCCTCCATCTTATCCCCACAACAACAACCCTGTGAGGCAGGTTGGGCTGAGAGTCTGTGACTGGCCCAAAGTCACCCAGTTGGCTCCACGGCTGAGCGGGAACTAGAACCCAGATTGTCTGAGTCCCAGTCCCATGCTCTTAACCACTACACCACACTGGCTCTCTATATGAAGTGGCTACAAGAATTCCATACTACTTAGCTGATCACTTACATTACCATTGTCAAGTTCTAAAAATTAAAGTCAAGGCTGCCAGATGACAATCTGGATGCCCACACTGTCCCTTTGGGAACATCTAGACTCCCTCCCTTTTCCTGTTAGCGCTACCCCCATGCTCCAACCCCTGAGGCCTGCTGTGCCACATACCTGCAGCCCTGAGCACTACAGCAAGTGAAGAGCAGACAGCAAGACCAGGGAGAAAACGGGAGAAGACATGGGGAAGAAACCACGGCTGCTTAGCCACTTAAGAGTGCAGTGCAGAGGGCAAGGCTGAGACCTTGCAGCACCAATCAGTGCAGAAGACTCATCTCCTCCATCCTATCAGTCAAGCGCATCCACATTTCTTCCCCAAATTCACCTGGCCCTCAGATTCTACTTGTAACTGAGACGGACGCGAATTTAGGCAAGACATTTCTCACAATTTCTACAAAAGGTTAATTGAACAGATTCAGGACCTCCTAGGCCAGACAACTATTTGAAGCCAGTTCCTTCATATGGGTGTGTGTGGAGAGCTTTCCCCATCTCCAAATGTCAAGCTGCGGCAATGTGTCATTTTATCCTTTGAAAAAAGCAATGCTAGTTGCTACTTGCCCGGTGAATGTTTTAAGCCAGATTGTATAATTGAGTTTTTCTTTAAGAAACCATATTGAAATACTGCTTAAGCAAAGGAGGGAGAGGCATATTACTTTTGGGAACCAAATAACAGGAAAACATATACAGTGAATTAATCCAGAAAAAGTATTTTAGAAGCAAGCAGAAATGGAAGTTTGAAATGTACATCATGTGAAATCATGTAAACAAACATAACATGGCTTTATTATGAAGGGTGTGGGTTTTTTCACTTATACGGTTCTATGCTGCAGCAACTGTTTTTCAGACAAAGTCATTTGGATATGACTTTGTTTGATAAGGCTGCTCTTGAATAGCTCTGGGAAGAATTAGCCAAAGAACTTTAAGTGAAGACACGTGACCTGTAGCCTTCATTTAAATGCTACTCTGTAACTAGAAGGTTGGATGCAACCTATACTTCCCTGGCCCAGTATGAGAGCCTACAATCCCTGAGGGGAGTCCGGGATGAGTCATGTCTCTTCTGAGCTGGGCGACAAATTTGTTTGGTTCACATTTCAGTGCTAACATCCAAATGAATACTTCCCAAATCTGAACTGGAACATAGTTCGATGTTGGAATCCATAGGTTTCTGTAGTGTGTGATACCATTTTAGAAAAAAAGGCATACAAAAATGCAAATGTTTGGAAAAATTGGGCTAAAAATGCATAAATTCTATGCATATAGAATATGTGTTTTTTCCTGTATATTTTTAAATATTGCAATCTGATCCAGAAATAGAGCAGAATCCTCTCAGGGGAAAAAAATGAAGAACCTAAATGAAACTGAGCTTGCCAGACTGACTTGTCCCTATTTGCTTCCCGACTCGATCTTTGGATGACCATTTCTTGGCTCTAACCAATGTATCCTGCTTTTCGCTCCCCATTGCCCACAAGCCAGACCTGAATGCAAAAAGGCATCTGGCAACGTAGCATTTCCATCCCATTTTCCTTCAAACCGATTAACCCTGATGGGTTGTTCTGAGGAACCTGCCCCCCATCTTTTCCACTGTTTCCTTCTAACTTTTCTTCCCCAAACTTCCCCAGTTCAAAAGTCTATTTCATTTTGTAGGATACGATGCTGCTATGCTAGGAAAAGATGACACTAACTTCAAGGGACAAGCAGCGAGGCTGCACATGCCGAGCTGCGTGAGGACATGCAGGACTTATTTGGGGGGCAGTTTGTCTGGTGCCCAATTTCTCACTGATGGCTTTTATGGAAATGCCATTTTTTAATTTGGTTCAAACTGGAAGTCCTGGCCCTTTCCCAAAGGCTGAAAACGAGGCATGGCAGTTGGTATCTGACAGTGGGATGCAGCATGGAAACCTAAAGGATACATTGTTCAGTGATAATAGCAAAATCTTAATGACAATTCTCGGGGGTAGACTCGAGGCATTTGCACTACTGATTCTTACAACTATTATCTGGTTCCCTTAAAAGTAATCTTTTCAGCAGCAGGCAAAGAAGCGGTTCCCAAATCAAGGAAACTGGTTAAGCATTTCCAGAGAGGCATCATAGCTGACCAACAATGAATTAGCTTGGGGTGAAAGGATGGGAAGGACAAGCCACTGCAAGCTGAAATGACAATGTATTTAAAGAATACTAGGAACTCCATAACACGTTCCACTGTTTATACCTGATTTCCCAGGAAGAACTGACAAGAGATGGAAAATGGGAAAAAGACATAATTAGTGTAACAGGAAATCCTGCAAATGAACACACTAATAGTACACACATATCCCAAATCTCTGAGCAGAGCATGTAGCTTAGAGAGGTGCAGTTAACGTTGAATGTCTGGACTGGGAATGCTGCAGACACCTGATTATTGTGTTACCTATCTATTGCTTGGCTATATTGTCTCTATCAGCCAAACTGTGATCAGGACATGGCATTACTGAACCAAAGGAAACACCTTGGCAGATTCTTCCTTGATACATTTTTGTAAAGGATACCTGGGATATCTTCCTATCTGCAAAACAGGAAAGTATGCCTCTAATGAAAGTAAAGAAAACAGGATGATAATGGCATAATGCAATTTATTCAAATATTTTGGAAGCTGAATGCACTCCAAATTGTTTGCGCTCCTGGAATTTTCTTTTTAATTCCAATGGTAGTGGACATCCCAGTGCAAGATCATGAAAGCTATTGGTATATACCCCCTGCTCCTAAACTTCATCACCAATTAAACCTCATCACTGATGTTTCTGCCAAAGCAAGGTTATTTGGGAAAGTTCTTTATTTCCCAAAGAGGAAAAATAATTCTTGTGGCTCCACTGATATAATGGCAGCATTTTATTTTATTTTTTATCACAACCCAACACTCACACAAGGTTGATTAAAAGTGTAATTTGGTCAAAAAACATATCATTTTTAGATTTTGTGAAAATACCTCAAATGCATGTACCTCAAATGCATGTACAGCAACTCAATTACTCTGATAATCCTATATGCTTTCAGAATGCCTGAGTTTCAACCAATGGGCATCATCAATATGTTTTCGAGTGACTTACTCTATACTTGTTGTCACCAATCTGCTCCACCTGGAACCTCTTTGCACATTTACATTTTGCGACCTGCCTTGTCACCTGTCAAAATAGCAATTGGAACCATTATGTCATTTCTCACCATTTTGCATAACTGGTAAATTATAGAATCAAACCACAGATTGATCAGACTGTAGCTTCTTAATGCAATTCCAGAAAATGATACTTGTAGTAAGTGGGGGACAGAGGGGGGAGAATACCTCATCTTCAATTTTGTCTGCATCTGTCAGAGGTTTGTATGCATCCTTGTTTGGATGAAGCGCTGCTACAAACTCGTAATAGTCAATATATCCATCACCATCCCTGTCAAAGATATCTGCTACTGCACTCATTTCCAAGCGACTAGTAGGAAATTCTGTTGAAAAAAGAACAGCTCATATCAAAAGTACTGGTTACCTTGCTGGGAACAGGTTTGAACTCTGAGAGTTTGGCAGGGGGAGGGGGCTTTTGTGGGCCAGCCAGACCAATTCCCTGTTTGATATAGAAAACCCAGAGCAAAGGCATCCCAGTCTCTGCTTGAAGAGCTCTACTGCTGCCCTCCTAGGATATCTGGAACATATCCTCTTGTAACTTATGCCCATTAGGTCCAATCCTGCCCTCCAAGAACAAGTATTTGCCCTTTCATATATGTGACATCTCTTGAGCTATTTAAAGAGTTCTATCACTCCTCCCCTTCATTTATCTTTTTACATGAAAACTGAAACTCTGAGGACAGTCAAAAATGCAAACATTTGCACAGAATTAAACATCATACATAGATAATTCAACTTGTCTTTAAAACTTACTTGAAGAAAGAATACCATCAATGAATTCCTGCCTTGTTATCTTTCCATCCTGATCTTTATCGATCCTCCTGAAGAAATCCATTACTCGAGACTTCTTATGGTTCATCCAGCGCATATACTTTTTCCGCCAAATATCAAAATCAAAGTTGGCAAATTCCCTCAGCTTAAAATATAAATGACAAAAAGAAAAAATAAGATTTAAGGGTTGAATTGGTTCATGGCCTTGCATAACCATGGGCGTAAGCCTCAGGTAAGACTAGCCCTTCCTGCTCCTTCCTCAGGCAATGATGCTTTTCCTTCCCATGTCAGCCTTAACCAGGTTTTACATGGTATCTGCACAGAAGCCAGCTACAGGTGCACTAAGTAGGATTCGCACCTTAACCAGAACTGACAACCAGGATTTCAAGAGGCTTAACAAGTCCTTATTGAAAGGACGAGTACAAGCAGCTCTATGCTGACAAAGGGAGGGAGGGAGGGAGGGCTAGATTTGCTCTGAGAGTAGGTGAAATGCACACATCCCAGGATTTGGCTCCTGTCACACCCAGGCCTAGAGAAGTCCTATAGCATTATATAGTTCCTCTTCTATGTTTGGACCTGTTTCCTTTTCTGGAGTGCTTGCAATATAACCAGGTGCCAGCCATCTGTAAGGGGAGGACTCCTGCGGCGGTGGTGGATTTCACCCACTCAGCTGCAACACCCCAGTGTGGCATGGAATTGCATGATTAAAATGAACCATGTGGGGAGCTGCTCACATAAAATCACTTACCTGATGGAGGTATGGGCAGTACGGGTGGCTGAATATATGAAGCTGCCCTTATGAGTATGCACAGATATGTGATTTTGGGGAATCAGGTGAACTACTTAGTATTAAAGCAGGCATGCCAGGAGGCAGGGTTCTGTATGGATGAATCAGCATGCTTCATCTTCCTTGAATCATGCTTCTTATTACACACACACAAGACTGGTGTTATCCCTTTTCCCCAGTGTGGATGTTACTGAGGAGAGCAAGCCCCTTTGCTTGTACACAGGAGTGGGCAGATGTTGTTTTCCTTCACCACCGAGATGCTGTAGATTCCATGTCGATGCCTGTTCATGTGATTTCTCTCCTTCAAAAAAGTGGGAGAGGAATGGCAGGAGCAGGGCCTCCATAGGAATGGGTGTTGCTGGCATGCATCTTCCACCACAAAAAGAGGAATGCCACTGACATTGCTATATGAACTGGGATTTGGTTACAGGAAACACTATATTATTATCATCATCATCATCATCATCATCATCATTATTATTATTATTATTATTATTATTATTGATCACGTTCAGTTGGATGCTATTGGTCATTGTAGCTTACACCAGTACAATGCAATTTCTGGTAGAGATAGTGTCACACTGGACATGCTTTCTAATGTCTACTGACCTCTTCTAATCGGTCTAAAGCATCATTAAGTTTCCTTCTTCTCTCCAAGGCAAGAAGCCAGACCTGCTGCCATTTGCTGACCAAGAGGTTCACCCGTGGATTCTTGGTTTCAATCTGGGCCTGTGTGCCGGAGGGATACATGCTTGGTGTAGGGGAACGCTTCCCTGTAAGAGAGAGAAATGTTTAGCATGCTTCTGCTTGTTCATGCTTTGCAAAGTGATCTGAACAAAAGCTAACATGGCACATATGTTGGTGAAAAAATGTTTCCTATGTTTCTTTGCTAGGAGGAAGAAGCATTTGTGAGTTCAGGTGACATGTCTCAGGAACACAGATTAGGTCTTAGAGCCACAAGCTGATGTCCCCTATCTCATCCTGTTCACTTCTTACATGAGAAAAAATAAGTTTAAACCAAGCTATCTGATTGTACCTTAACAGTTTATGAGAGTCATATAGAGAGGTATTACTGCCACTCTGTATGACTCTGGTGTGCCGCAATTGGAGTATTGTGTTCAGTTCGGGGCCCCACATTACAGGAGAGATTGGAATCAGTGCAGCATAGGGCCAAAAGGATGGTGGCTGGTTTGCAGGGGAAGCCACATGAGGCGAGACTGAGGGAACTGGGTGTTTTCAGCCTGAAGAAGAGGAGACTCCAAGGGGATATGTTGACAACATAGAGGTATATGAGGGGGTGTCACGCAGAGGTGGGTCGAGGCCTGTTTTCCTCTGTGGAGGAGGGCAGGATGCATTCCAATGGAGCAATGCTCAGGGAATCAAGATTCGATTTGGATGCCAGGAAGTACTTCCTGACAGCTAGGGTATGGAATGGGCTTCCATGGGTGAGGGTGATCAAGGATAGGCTGGACATGTACGTGGTAGGCATGTCATGAGCATCGCTGGCTGGAGCTGGGGGTCAGAATAGATGGCCTGGGGGGGCCTCTTCTGACCCACAGTGTTTCTATGTTTTTATGAGTAATTGTGATGCTCCCTATTTCTCTGCATAGAACCCTTACTTACTTCCTCCTCTTCCTTTATCCAGTACAGGAATATGAGACTGAATTGGACCAGATTCAGCTGCTTTCCTCTTGTGTGTCTTTGTAACTTTATCCACATCGGGTTGTTTTCTGGTCATTTCCTCCATGAAGGTCTGTAATGAAATGATGATTGCTTTGACTAACAGTCTACTAGAATAATTTACAACATACTGCAGGGAACAATAGCTCACATCCACAGGTCTGTGGGATCCCACATGTGCACACAGACTGTCAGCTTCACATATATGGTTTCTTCTTATATCCACATTGACATCTGTGGTGATATAACATGTTCTGTGTTACACCTGAAAAGCAGCATGGCTATCCTGTTTGCCATGAGCATGTCGATCAGGATGAAAATAAAGGTGATGGTTTCAAAGCAAAATTAAGCAAAAGTGCATGTTTTTCCCAAAAGGATATTAGACGAATGTCTCACAAAGTAACAGTGAAATGTCTCTCACAACAAGGGAGATATTCAAGGATGTTTTGTTTCTTTTCCTTTTCCTGTACAAAAAGAATACATGCTCCCAGAACCAGTCTAAGACACACTGTAAAATGTAATGCCCCGAACAAGACAAGACAATAGCTTTCAGTTCATATGCTTTGGTGTGTGTATGTTTTTGTTTCAATCATTTATTTATTTTCCAAGGTAATCAAATGCACTGTTAAAATGCTTGCTGGTTTGCTGCCTACAATACTGGAGCAAGCTGTTGAAGTATTTGCCCATCTGAGGGTTTGTTATTTTTCCTGTCATTCTTTGCTTTGACCACTGTAGTGGTATAAAGACAAAATGAAAGGGAAAATTAAAGAATTTGAAACTGTGTTTGATTGCATGGTTCATGTTTGGGAAAAGTATAATATTTTTGTTTATTTAACTACTTGTGCACCACCTAAACATGCAGAACCTCAGGCTCCAGGCCTTCCAGGCCCAACCTTAGGCTTCTCCATATGGCCCCACCTTTTCTCCTGAGCAGCAATAGTTTGAAATAGGTTTCCCAACTTTTAAGCCATGTTTTCCCCATTCCAGAAAGTTGAAATGGCTTTCCTAAGGCTTAGTGAGTGGAAGTAGGAGCTTTAAGACAAACAATAGTGCTACTTTACCCCAACCCAGCACTGGAGTACGCCAAAAAAGGAAATCAGCCCTTGGACTGAAGGGATTCAGGCTCCCTGCTCTAAAGCATGCAGATGTTGAAGGCTTCCGTGCAGTTATCAGAGAGCTACAGCCCAGCAGGACTCCCTTACCTGGTGTTCAGCTATGAGCGCTTTGACTTCGTCAATCTCCTGAGGAATGACCTCCTTATCTTTTTCAGTAAGAGTTGTCTCTGCCCACTGTAGCCAGGACAATAATGCTTCCAGCAACTCCTGATTTGCGATAAGGGCAGCCAGGGCTCCTGCCAATCTCTGCTGATGCTGCTTTGCCCATGCCAGTACCTTGAAGTGAAGATCAGTACATTATCATTTCCAGATTCGTTTTCAGCTGCACCATTTGCCCTCCGTCCTTCTCTTGTAAACAAATTTGGCTTCATTACCTGGGGACTGCTGTACAATCACACTTTGTAATCTGAAGTTTACAGAGAGTGCAGAGAGTTTCACAACCAATCTGAAACTCTCTGCACTTCGGAAGGAAAACTGCAGGTGCTCAATAGCTGCTGCCATTTTATTGCAAGGTAAGGGTTTTGAACAGCTAAAATACATATATCATGGCAGGCAAGCATATTCTCAGAACCTTCAAACAATTAACATTGGTTACATTATACACAGAAACCTGATTCACACGTAACACTAACCCATGGTTTAATTAACTCATGAACTCATGGTAAACCCATGCTTTGTTACCCTACCCAATAGCTCACAGATGATCAGACAAGCCATGTTCCCCTTTCCTCAATTCCAGGGTTGCTTGTTTCCTCTTTCTTTCCTTCACTCTCTACCATATCCCAAATACCTTTTGTAGCATTGTTGTATGACACACACAATGGCTGGGATTTCTTCCCTCCTTTATTTATTTTATTAATTCAATTTATAGGTCACCCCATGAGCCATAAGCTTTATTGTCTACCACCTCTGTAGCTGTTGAAACAAAAAATAAATAACCCACACTTCTGGGTTCACACATAATGAGAAACCATGATTTAACAACCCAGACATCACAATCTAATAACAAACCATGCTTCTTCTCTTTCTGAATTGTCTGTGACCAACAAACTATGGTTTGTTACTGGAGTCATAGTCAGTCATCACCAATACCCAGAAATCAACAACCAATAGGTTAAATAAACCATGAGTTAGCTTCTATGTGAACCAAGTCAGTGGGTCCTTCCATCAATGAATCCCAAATAATTCTGTATTTTAAAATAATGTACGCCATCTACCCTGTACACCTGGCTACTAGGCATGTTTACTTGCATTGGATAAAATTCCAGGAAAGAGCAGGATGTACAATTAATTCCAGAAACAATGTTTGGCAAAGAAGCTTATGACTGTTGATGCTACTTTTTGCAGACTGTATGTTAAACACAGTGAATTGTATTCAGTCTGCTCAAGAGCCACCAGGACCCACCATTAGCATTTCCACTTGATTCCAGGGTTCTTTTACAAAACACTCTCTGTTGAGCTAGCAGTGGGTCCCAATTGTGCAACAGAATTAATGGGAGTGTGGTGATCCCCCACTGAATATTGTATAGCAATAGGAGTGATACTTGCATAGGTTTCTAAGGAAGAGATCATATTACCCAAGTTAGTTTTCAGGGACCTTCAAATAGTGTGTCGCCTTTCCTAGATTTTGAAACATATTTAGTTATTATTTGTATGCCGCCCAATTGTGCCACAGCACGTCTGGATGCCTCACAACCACAAGGTAAAAACATAGTAAGACAGACAGAAATGTGCATAACATTTGAAGCAGGCATATTACTGTCAGTTAAATGTACCCCTTTCTTGCAAACAAAAGCAGTTTGCACTAACATACCTACTAATAAAAAGGTAGTTGCTGAATACAATTACTTCTAAGTAACTGGCAATAGATTTCTTTGTCATAAAGTTAACAACACTGTTTTAAAGCAAAAACCTTTTATTCAAATGCCACTCGTGCAGGGAAGGCAGGAAATTTTCCTTGAATGTAAACTAACATGGGGCTGTTTTACTTCTCTTTACTTCTTTCTCATAACATAGCTATGAAGGAAGAGTAAAAACTAGGCTATTGTACATGACAGTACGAGTATGTTAAACATTTTGCTCTTGACAGCTGGATCATTTCCTCACAACGTAACAGCCTTGCTAATTGCCAGTTGAATTCCAAGCTGTCAGAGATTGATTGTTACAACAGAGAAGTGCTGGAGTTGGACTGACCTCTTCAAACCTTGCTCGTATGATTGTGATCCAGTGCTTAATGGTAGTGATGGAGTCTGGGTGGCACATGGCCAGGATGGTCTCTCCCATACCTGTGGCTTTATTTAGCTCAGCCTTTTTTTCTTCCAGTTTCTTCATGAATTCCTAAGGCAGAAACAGTGATTTCAATTAGGTGCTGGCACTGGTTCAAAGAGGAAATTCAAGTAACTTTGGACTTTGCTGGCTAAATCAAAAAGAACAAATGCCTGTACTGAGTCATCCAATGCCTGAGCCGTCTGACTGGCAGGGATGGAGAAAAATAAAAAGTCCCTCATTTAGAGGAAAAGTAAAGGATATTTTAAAAACAATTGCAGACTAAAGTCTAATGTAACAGATAGGAAATATGCTGGATCCCGTGGCTAATTAATACTGCAAGACAGGATGAGATTCAGTGAAGTCCTTCTACTGATGGACTTCCATCACCAGAACTAGAAAGGGGTCATTTCTCCCTTCTCCCCTGCAGCCATCCAGGCACCATCCAAAGCTGTGCAGAGGGCTGTGTGACCCTCTGGGGCAGATCTGGGTGGGGTGGCCACAGGAGGCAAGAGAAAGTCCCATTGCTTTGGCAGAGATTCTCTTGACAACTTGAGGTCTGTTTATGGTGCATAAATTAATAACCATTATAATGCTATAGAAGACAAAGGCACACAGACTTTATAGTCCAAAATCAGTCAAATGATTTAACAAGATACTGACTTTTGGACATGTTTTAGGGAAGCCAGGGATCTGATCTTTAACCCACCTACATACCCTACTTGGAGGGTATGAATAGATCTTTAAAGATATATAGAAGTTGATACTTTTAACTGGACCAGCATCTACTCCTGCACTTTTCTAGAAAACATTCACCAAGTACTGTGGAAGTTATAGACTGAACTAGGGAGCATTTACATCCCTCCTACCAAGGTTTGGAACATATAAGGGCTCTTCTCATGCAATTACTTCTCCCTGTCGACATGGAATGGGGTAGGGAAAGGCACAGAAAAGCCTGAAGCCTCCTAAGCTCTCTGGGACTCAGCAGACAAAGAAACGGGCCCTCTAGCTGTGGCATTCCAAAAGGTTTGCATCTTCTTACATAAGGATGTGCTGGTCAAATAAAATGTGTCACTTTGTGGGGGAGACAAAGGAGCAGCTTTTTGTACCAAATGGGAGATGAAACAGAAGGTGATTCGCACATTGCTTTTTTAACATGGAAACACTCGGCCATAAGCTTCTTTCTGCCTGCCCATTCACCCTGAGAAGCATTCTCCAACTAGGTTTGTGTGATACAAAAACCCAGTGAATACCTGGCTTGTTCTTGGGCAACAAGCCATCCCGACAATCCACTGCTTGTTCTAAATGTTGTTAGTTGCACAGTATGTTGCTGTGTCATTCAGGGAAACCTGTCATGGATTCAGGGAAGTGGCTAAGCTAGCGGCTCGGCAACAGTGGCAAAAACCTGTGGCTCTGTTCCCAAGTGCATCACCAGTGCCAGCCACTCTACTCATGCCCAAGAGACACCGTGGGGTGATCCTGCTGCCTCCTGCTGTGATCATGAGCCTGTGTTTGCCCCTCCCTCCCACACGTAACTGTGCATAGGCCCCTGTGAAAACACCGTGGTTAACACTATTGAGAAACCATGATAAAAGGAAGCCTGAGTTTTGACAGCTCCATGCTCATAGTACAGGGGGTGGCTTGCACTTTTCCACCTTCCAGAACACCTATAGTCTCAATAGGATGGAAAACAGTAGTCATGTCTAGCCCAAAATATACAGTATCTCTCCATGAAAGGAGTGATCAACAGGTCAATGCTTTTTGTAAGCAAATATCACTTGCAGCTTTGCTTTCCCTTGTAAACTTGCCTTTTGACAACTGTCAGGAGAAAGTAAAGCAAAAAGTAAACTTCTTTGCAGCCTCGGGTCAGTGTCCATGGCAGGCACCTGTGGCACTTTGACAATAGGTTTCCTTGGGCTGTTTCTAAGGTGAGGGTACCCAAGTCAGACCCATGGAAGTGGGTAAGAGTGCACTTGTACAAGTCCAACTACAAAATGATTTTTTAAAAATGAAAATACTGGCATAGATTTTAGGTGCCAGTAAAAAGTAACAGTCTCTCCTATCTGCTGCTTTGGCATTTCCAAGAAACATCCCTGGTTTCCAATTTGGAGATCACAAAAAGCAATCTCCAAAAACAAAAACGGCGAAGGGGAAAAACGCTTTGCAAGCAACAACGGGCTCACAACTGTGGGCAGCCTTAGCTGCTTTGAGACACCAACTGGAGGGGGAAGTGGGTAGACAACCCATGTGAGCCTGACCATCTTTTAGGTGAACCATGGGTTGTTTCACAAACAACCCAACCTGCATAGCTTATTCACAGAATGGGTTGTCAGGATGTGCAAACCCATCCATTGTCTGCAAAAAATACTTGGGAAAAGAATATGAAAGACAGATTTTGTAGATAGAACGGGGCTAGATTTCAGACTTTTCCTACTCAAGAAGGCAATAGGTGAATCAACTCACCACATGGCAGCCTTTACTCATTTTTTAAAATGCAAAGAGCAATCAAAATATTTTAAAGGAAGTTATTAATAGGATGAACCACTTTTAGACACCTGCTTCTTAAATAAATTTGAATGCAAACTAACCTGTACATAATTCAAACACTTTATCTGTATTTTTCTGCCAAAAGGGAGTTTCTAATCTGAGAAAAGACATCAGAACCAATCCCTGAATTACGTTCCTGTGAAAACTGTTGACAAATGATTAATGAGTGGATATTGTATTGTGCTCGTGGTAACAGTGCTTGATACCAAATGGTCAAGTTGATGAAAGGGAGCCTTCAGCTACTTTGAGGAACCAGCAAATAAGAGGGGAACATTTGGAGTCCCCAGATTCTATTCTGGTCAGATTAAAACCTGAGCAGAGCAGAATTTCAGTTTTCTCTAGCAGGGTACCAGTTCAACATAAACTGGCCTTCTGTATGCCAAGCATGTGCTTGCTTACTCATCAAGGCCCTCCTTCAACATGCTTTAAAATGTGTGTGTGTGTGTGTGTGTGTGTGTGTGTGTGTGTGTTTAAGCTATGCACTTTTTCACAGACATACCATGAGAAGAGCAGATGAGACAAATGAGCACAATGGCACACAACATTACCCAGCTTGAACAGTGTTTACCGGCCACCCTGAGTTCTGAACATCATGTTGCCAAGCACAAGTTATACGGAATGTTATATAAGGGTGTTGTATGTGGCTTCTAAATCAAGTCAAGCCAGCCTTCCCTAGAAGCAAAAACGAGTAAACTGAGCCTGTCATAGTTAGCATGCAGTGTGAGAAGGCAAGACCCACTGGAGAAGACAATCATGTTAGAGAAAATCAAAGGCAGAAGAAAAGGAAGACCAAATATAAGGTGGACTGACTTCATAAAGGAAGCCACAGCCTTGAACTTGGAAGATCTGAATGGAGGTCCGATGGAACCCTCTTTGACAAACTAAGTCAGTACTCCAAATGGATTATATGAAATGCTCCCTAAATGCTACAAGTCCCTGCATCACCCTAGAATGATGAAAGCCAATTGTACGGATTTGAAACTGGCAAATGAATTAGGTATATAGAGCATTTTTACAAGAGTATAGATTTATGAGAGCTTGAAGTGGTGAGGGAAAAAAGCTGGGCTGAAGAATGAGCAAGTGGCAAACTTCCTTCCTTTCATAACTCATCTAATGCATTAACCCACTGTTCCTTTTAGCCCAAGGACTCTCAGTTGTCTAGCATATGCTACCTCTATTAAATCCAGTGAAAATTTTGTAGAGGTGCTAATTGGATATGAACCTGAGTTGTTCAAAAGAAAAGGTTTCCATATGTCAACTAATATAACCATCTTTTGTAAATAAAACTGGTAGATCGCGTAATTCTTGTACCAAAAGAAAATGATTTTACCAAAATTTTAAATCAATAATAACCCATATGGAGCTTCATCAATTAAAAAAGCACTAAGGATAGCCATAACTATTCCCGTTAGTTATTTCAGTCTGCTCTGGTACAGAGTGAAAAATGTTGAGTTTATAATGCTTTCCTAATTTACCTATTTTTAAAGAAATTTAATTTTATTTGAAATTTAAAATTTGTTTTAAATTTTAATTTTGTAAGGACACACAATAGGAAAATTGATTATTTCCAGCATTGATAGTACTTAAAGGAATGCTCTAAGAAAGCTTTAAATACAGGGCTTATTTGCAAGATATAAATATTTTAATATACCTGCAATGGGTTTGCCTAAATACTCATAATGTAGGCATTTTACCACAGTGTTTTGAAAAGGACTCATAATGAAAGTGTGGCAAGACTTTAGAGCATTGCTACATTAAAAGATAGTATCCCCACTAGCCATTTTCTCCACAACAACAAATTAAAAACCAGTGGCGCTGGCTCTAATATTATACACTAAATTTAGAATTAGATAAAAGTATCTTTGAAGATTTTCCAGACCATAAACTCTGTCAGAATATGTCTTCACTCTCAGCTTTTATGGTTGATTATAATTATTTTACATTGTTTACATTTTAGCAATGGTTGTAGATTATTTGTGTGTGTGAGGCGTTGCTCTTTTCAGCCTCGGGAAGGGCTTTGCATGTGTGTATGTACACATTTGCCTTTGCTTTGGTGAGAAGAAAAGCCAAAGAGAACCATCTGGAGCCTGTTCAGAAGACATGACAGTAAACAAGATATTCTCTTCTTCGTCATTACCAATATAACTTCTGGCAGCTTTTCCATGATCTCACTGTATGGTAACAGACACATGAAGACTAGCCAGGAAAAAGATGGAGCTGGAGGAGTAGCTGCAGGCACAAAAAACGGCCTGACTCATAACCTAGACCGCTACAGCAGTCCAAAGGGTGTGGGATGGAGGCCGTGTAATACGCACTTAACAACTCCCACTGAAACCAATGGGTTGGATCTGATCTCCCTTCTGTCCATAGAGGCTTCCGGACCAGCAGAGGCACTGTGCCAGTGGAATGGAGAGGCACAGATCTTCATTGCCTCCTCCCTCTCTACCTTGCCCCAGTCTGCTTTAATGGACTCTCTGGGACAGTGGATGAAGGGGCATGGGGAGCTGCAGAGAAAGCGAGGGATCAGCTAGGATTGCCTTCCCCCTTCCTCTGCTGGTAGGAGCATCCTATGAGGCACTCCACCCAGGAGATGACCCCAGCAGTGGAAAAGAAGCTGGATCCAACCCAGCGACATTGTGAAATGTTACGCGAGATTAATGGCTGCTGACAAAACCAGCAGCCGTACCTCACTTCATCTCCCCCACTGCCCATAATACGTGATAAAAGAGGACGCATGATGTGATGCTATCACTCTGTAATTTTTCCTGAGTCCATTTCATTGGCAGTAGTCACAAATTCCCTTAACATGTAATTCTGTCATGAGTCAGTGTAACCTGGAAATTTTCTGTCCTTTCAGCATATCTTTTTCTTATCTACTTTAACTGGTACTGCATACACAACTCGTATATGCAATCTTAAATATCTTGGCAAAAAGTTCTATTTATTTCAAGGGAACCTACTTGCAAGTAAGTATACCTATTACCAAAACCACTTTAGGAGAACTAGTACTAACACAATCAAACAAAACAGCAGAAGTGGCCCACTTTCCTGCCTCCAATCGTGTCTGTGTATGAATGCACCTGTATATCATATTAGAAATATGAATTGATGTTTTCAATTGGCTAATTTCCTTTCATGCTTCAGCTCCTGGTTTGACTCCTGGAAATCAGCTCATGTACTAGATATCTGGGCCTATTGTGCTTAATGGCTACCCTGCTTTTGTGTCCTTATGTAGCAGCAGAACAAGGGGTGCACTGGAACTCTTGAGGTCTGCCATAGATGGGCCAATGGCCTCTGGTCAACATGATAGGTCATACATTCCACAGGCCTTAAAAAATAAAGGCACAACAATTTCACATTTACCGACTGGCCTCTGGCCTTGGCTCTGCAAAATTTAAACCAACTACTTCAATACTTATACCTTTCTTCTATAGTGTTTTATGCTGGCATTTTTTCTAGAAATGAGCATTCAAACTACAAGGGAAAAGGATATAGCAAGAAAGCAGAGGCTGAGAAATAGGGAAAAAACATGCTAGTGGAATCCTATCAAATTTCTCCTGCTTGGACTTAGAAACCGGAATGTGGCTCATGACAAGACTCCAAGGGATAGGATTGGGGGGGAGGGGTCTACTGTTATCTAGCAATTACATCTTTATGAATAGCTTTAATTTGAATTCAGAGGCAAACATGAATTAATATTTGATGCCTGTGTAATACATTGAAAATGTGTTGATTCAATTTTAAGAATCTTTTGCCGATTCAGTTATCAGTCATTCCTGGAAAATGTCACTGCTAAATTAACTGCATTTGTAGAAAGACTCTGCTTTATGAGCTCTTGTTTCTAGGAAAGAAAACTGGTTTTCATTGCCAGATACAAATAAGCCATAAACGGCTTTATTTTATTTCTGCCTTTTCATAAATCTAGCCTCAAGAGTCAGCATTGTCTCAGTTATCTTACTCACCCGATGCTGATCTATTAGTGTACGCAGAGCCTCTTCATCCTCTGGAAGGATGCCATGGAAACGCAGGGCCTGTTCAGCCTCAGCCAACCATTCCAAAAGAACATGCACAACCGAGTGGAATTCCTCTGCCTGTGTAAATGGAAGAGCGGTGAGAGGGGAGAAGAACAGGGTTAAAGGGATCTGGACAGAAAAAGCCCTATGTTGGATTCTCCATATAACAACAAGCCTGTGCCCAGACTGGTGGGTTCTTTATCATCCAGCAATGAAGGTACATTAACTTTTTATTAAGGAAGATGACATATAGCACCTCTCTATCATGATCATAAAAATGTCATTAAAAAAAATGAAGAAAGCCCAAAGGCCTGCTTATGCATGCCTTTAAATATATAATTGATAGCATATGTGAAAGCTGTATTAAGAGGAACTTGCCTTCACACTGACAAATTACAAAAGGGGCACTTTAACCTAATCATGCTAATGAATTATTAGTTTGTAGGGAAGGAATAGTAAGTGAGGTTGTGCCTAGATTCTAATTTGTCAAAGAGTTGAAGGCAGTATCACTATAGAGCTGTCATTTCTGGTGACCAGGTACACATATGTTTTGTGGGTGCATGTGTGCGCATGTTCTACAACAGATTTGGTCAAATTGGTCTTGCAAATTTCAGCAGTGCCTTGAAAAGTGACAGGAAAAAAGCAAAATCTACCTTCAAGCATCTATATGCACTACAGACAGTCAGCAAGCTGTTTTAAGAGGAGATTTCCCCAGTTATTTTAGGTATATGAAAGGACAATGGCTTCTACCCTTGTAGCCCTACACAAAGCAAGCCGAACCCCCTGAAGTAATATACATCTCTCTTCCTACACCCATTCCTAGGAAATGCTCCACTGTTCAAGAACTTTTAGCCTGAATGAGATGAAATTAAATGCTATCTGACACACAGTCTAGTCAATTTCACCATCCCATTGATGTGATTTGGGTTGAAATGGGGTATCAATAGGACATTCAGGAAGCAATGCTATCTGTGTCTTTCGAAGGAGTGGCCTGATGCCAAAGCATTCCAGCTATCCTTTGCTTTGCAGGCACATGCTGGCAGAGCAGAAGGGGCAATGAAGAGCTTTTTCAGCTCTCCATCCTCCTTGTTCATTTTTTGGATGAGCTTCTGAGTCCCTGAGAGATGAGCTTCTGAGTGCCCCAGAAGCCAGACCAGGGCTGGAGTGGATCCTCTTCTTTCCTCCCCTCCCCATCCACTGGCGCACTCCCACATGTCCTCTTTTACAGCCCACAAGTTGCACACTTAGGAGACAGGTAGCTGCTGCCTTTCTTTCTGCAGCAGCTGTAGGATTTAAACCCAAAGTCCTTTCCTGAGGTCACAGCAGTATATATGGCCTTGGGACTGGGAATCTGACAAACTCAAAGCTCTCCTTGGGAACCATACAATTGTTCTCCCATCATAAGGCTTTTCAATAGCTCCTGGGGATATTATTTTTCTTTAAAATTGTTCTTACACTGCTGTGTTAATGGGCTTGCATTATGTTACTTTGTTTTATTTTTAGGGTTTTAATCTTTGTAAACCACCTAGACAGCTGTGACTATTGGATTCAGAAATGCAGTAAATGAAAAGGAATCAGAAATTGTTTTAAATGTAATTTGTATTGCAAATGATACTTGCAGTCATTCATCCACCCATTCACTGCGCAAAACTGAGCGGTATATTGAGGACATGAAGCAGGCCCTCGTCTGTCTTCTTGCTTGCTAAGCAGTAGAGATACCCCACAAACACATTTCAAATCTCTGCCTGAATTCAGTGCAATCACTTGAGTCTTCACCTGGTGGAGGGCTTGTTCTAGTCGTGTCTGCTTGGAGACGGACAATGCGCACACTGTCTCCCACCGCGTGCCGAGCTCCTGCATTTGGACCTTTACCCAAGAGGAATCATCACGGCTGCCTTCTATCAGCTCACGGGCAGAGCGTTTCAGAGCTTGGACGCTGCTTGTCCTCTTTCCTAGTTCCTTCTGGAAACCCTGAGCAATGGAAAGAATTTGTGCCCATCTGTTTAGAACAATATATGTTCCCACCACATCGGTAACAAAGTTGTCACAACTGTAAAGAATGTTCTTTAGTAATATTGTATTTTTACTCCACCTTTCATCCACTTGCAAGGAACCTACGACTCCTTTTCTCCATTTTATCTTAACAATAACAACCTGTGAGGTGGGTCAAGCTGACATTCCCTGATTGGCCCAAAGTCACCCAGGGACCAGAACCCAGACCTGCTGTGTTCCAAGCCAGCATTTTAACAACTGTGCCATACTGAATCTCTTGAAAATTTTCAGAAACCAAATCTAAACTACACATTCCCCTTTTTTGGTAATATAATTTATGTATATATTTGCCAATCTGACTTCATTTTATTCAGCTGTTGGTACTTTGCTATATTTGAGTAATTGTTTAATTTACTCTTAAAGCAGTAGGTCTACATATATCCAAAGAGAACACAGGTCACCTTCAGACACCACACACGACCCAGATTCTGTCATAATGGGAATAAGCCTAGCAACTCCTCCTGCCTCAATTTTCCATTCTCCTACCCGATTTACTTAATCATTTATTAGATTTATATCCCGCCCCATTAGCTGGAATGATTCTCTAAATCTATTTATCTAAATAAATAAATTTATGTCTATACATGAAAAGAGCATGCCTATAGATCTTTTGCCTCTACGCAAAGTAACAGAGTTGCTCTTGAGGATGAGCATTTCAGCTCCTGCACCCATCATAAATTAAAAAGTGAGGTCTGCAAGAAGAGATTGCTAATAATGTTCACCACTGCATTAGTGGCTTTGTTTTAGAAACATTTGGGTACATTCTTTATACTTGGAGGGCTTGAAATAATCTGAATTAAGATCTCCATAAAACAACCAATATTGAAGCAACAGGGCAGGTTTCAAATTAGTTTGAAAGGACTTTTCCACTCCAACCAATTTTGATACCACAGTCTAGGGTTTTGAATCCATTGAATGGGGTCATGAATCTTCCTTGGAGTTACAGCGTGATCCAACAGACATTCAATCAAAATGTTTTGAGAAGCATAATTTAAAATAATATGAAAATGACTGTAATTTTGTTGCCATTACTTTGTGATTATCTATTAAATTCATCACTAAATCAACGTCTCCATGCACAGGCTGATCTTCGGCCAGCTGTGGTTCCACTTTGTATAGCCAATCTATGAGCGCCTGAAGAGCATCAGTAAATTGTCCAGAAAACAGCAGGGCTTCTTCCAGTTTGTTTTGCCTGAAGTGGGAAAACAAAAGAGTCATACACAATGGAGAAAGGAAAACACAACCATACTTACATTCATAAGGGAAACTGCTACTCAAATAAAAAAGGGGCCATAATTTGTTTTTGTCTTTTCTTAATAGCTGGCAGTAATTGTAGCAACACTTCTGTTGATTCTGCTCAGCAACGACAGCCAACTAAAAACACACTTCTGGGGAAACGGCAAGCCAAGGACGAGGGACTGGTGTGAACGGCTCCTTCATTTACCAGTGGTCATAAAGATGACCATGTGGAAGAAATTAAGTGGAACTGCAGCATAAATAAACCAACTCAATGAGTACTTATACACTGAGAGTATCCTACACATGGTGAGCAACACATACCACTGTAACACCATCATCCCAACCACACAGGAGCCAAACCAGCTGCTGCAGCATTCTTCATCATAATTGTCTGCCACAAAATGTATGTTGCTATTGTGCTACCTGCTAGTTCTCACGTCCTCCAAGCAAGTCCCCATGCCCAGTCACCATGGCCTCATGCCCTGCCGGTGCCCAGCTCCAGGAGTATCATGTCCTCCTACCAGCAGTTATTCCATTTTCCCCTTTTGATAAACAAAATTCTATGTTTTATGTCTCTTTGCCAAGATCAGCTCGAATGGCTGAGTGAACATGTAGTACAAAATTAATCATCTACCCCACCTTGGGAAAGGAAGTTTCTTCATAAATTAATATGCATTCTTCAAAAATTAATATGCAAAGAAAAATGTGCATGAGTAGGATCAATATTTTCCATTTCCATTTCTCTGTGCCATCCCAGACACTGTAGCTGAATACAAATAGGTTATCTAGCCACACTAGGAAAAAGAAGAGCCTTCATCCTTTGCCCAACATGGCATCTTGTACGACTAGACCGGGGGCAGGCAACATTGTGGGCATCAATTGTCTATGGAAGCTTCTTCCTGCTTCCCCACCAAGTCCCATGATATTTAGAAAATATGTTTATATTTTCTTATTGACAAACTGGGGTTGCTTCAAAGTAGAATGGGAGGTTTTAGGTGCTGCCATGTTAATTTCCCATGAATGACTCTAAGCAGGTGACTTTGTGACGACATACCCGTGCACATGTACAAAAGTCATTTTAGGGTTATGGCCAGGACAGTTTTTCAATTTCTGTATGTGTCCAGAGGTCCTCAAGGTTACCAAAAGGACTAGTCTGACCAGGGATACATACCAATTTAAAGAAAGACAAATGAGATGAGGGAAATTGTGCTCTTTCCAGCAAACTATTGTTTTATGAAGCACCTTTTAAGAGATGCATGGGTTTTGGTTTAAATACTAGGAATTTTTGGTTTTACCTTTCTACAGATTTTCCACAGACTGTATCCCATTTGTCTCTGAGTTCATTTAGCATATCGTCCAGTTTCAGATTGTCATCAGCAAGGGAAGTTTTTTCTTTTAAGGCGCGTCCACTTCTGTTTGTAGTGTCATACACTGAATGTTTAGCTCCAAGAGCTTTTTGGAACTCCTGTGCAAGAAGCGGGAGAACATAATAATGAAGTGCACAGTAAACACAATCTAAAGGACAAAACCTTTTGCACAGCACAGTCAAAGGAGCCAAGCATGTGTTTTACTATTCTCACTGAAATAAACAGGAATTGAAAATATCAAATTTTTCTGAATTAGGCTCAAGTAAACAATCACATGTTTAAAATACTTCAGTAGTTGTGTGCTGCTTTCTTCTTTGGAGCAGGGACTTTTCACTAAGATATCAGACTGTGCAACTATCGTGTTTTTTTAAGAAGGCATAAAACTTCCATCAAAGAAACAATATTTGCACTCAGCCAGCATGATAAGCCACACTGAAGGACTGAGTATGGCTGGACTGTGGGTTGCCATTGAATGATGGGTTGTTGTTGAAAGAAATGGGTTATCATGTCTGAACCTAACCAGGTTAACAAATCACAGTGCACAACTCATGGTTCATAACTCAACAACAAACCATGGATTCTCTCCATTGGTAGCTGGGCTCAAACGATGCAAGAAACAACAGATCAACAACCTACAGTTCAGCATCAACCTACACTCAACCCGCAATCAGCCTTGAGTGTGGGTTAGTCTGAACCTAGCCAATGGATAGGAAAAAATCAAACTTTCAGTTATTAATTTTTCAAGGGCTCTATTATGTTTAATCATTCTCTAGAATGACACTACAGGAATTACAGCCAATTTATCATAAACAATTATCATGGTTGTATAGATGTGAAGTAAATTGAGGTAGACCCATAATGAGACTCCTATTATCTTAAAACTTCTATCTATTTTAAATACTTGAACACAGGAAAGAAGAACAACATGACCCAGTCTTTCTTCTTACTCTGGCTTCTAAATATAATGTGTAATCGAGGGAAGGGATAAGAGAGCAATTCATACTCCCTCAAATCTTTGGCAATACCTAACAAATATGAGACAGATATCACTTCGTAAAATGTTGGTTTCTTCTTATTTTTGGCAGTAACAAGCTGGCAAAGAAAAGAGCCAAGTTACTCACCATATCAGACATAGTCTAGTTTATGTCCTTGTCTAAAGATATGAAAACCACTAAAACTTCCAACAGAAGTGCCGCGGTTGATTTTGTAAAAGGAAGGTTAAAAGAAAGTTGTGGAGTACAGCAATATACAGCATGCAACACACAAATAACTTGTTAAGGGGATTATTGAGGATTTGGGGATGATATTCTATTATTCTCCATGTACTAGGAATGATAGAAAAGTTGATAGTTTCTATTGGGCTAGCTTATATGAGTAAACATAATCATTTTAAAAATCTGACAATCTCTTCTATGAGTTGAGCTGATCTGACTAAATTCAAGGCAAAATTGAAGCCACATTTATGATTTAAGCCAATCTGACAAATTAAGGGTGGAATGTACTGGCAGCCAGTTTGAATACTCAAGCTGCAGCATGTCATGCCATCTGAACTCAGGTGGCAGAGGTTGTGTGCAGGTTAAATTCTATTCACAGAGTGCAACCTTCCCTGGAGCTATACAGAAGAGGCCCAGGTTTTAAAGGTGACTTTTCATCTTTACATAAGCGGATTTATGGAAAGTACTTGACAGCTGTGAGCCTAACCCTAACCATAAACCTACTGCACTTTCATCTGAGATGTCGACAGTTCCAGTGCATCTAATTCATTTCAAATGGAGGTGGGGATGGAAATCATTTCACTAAACTGATTAAAGATTTGCTTCTCAAACTATGCATTTTCAAATTTACTTTGAGTGAGGCTGATTTTTTTTTAAAAAGCAATCCATACAATCTCTGAACAATGCAAAACAAAAGTGTTGGGTTTAGTTAAAAACCAGGTTATCTTACTGACCATCCAGGATGCCTTCTGACAGAAAATCTGGCTTCTAAGATTTTCTACAATAATTTCTTTAACTTTGATATGTACTTTCATGTCTAAAGACCAGAGTCCACAGAGAAATGCCTCAATTTCTATTTATTTTACAAGCTGGAAAATTGCCAGCATTTGAATTTGCTGGTGGCAAACAATAAATCTCCCCACTCTTGCTAACTTCTCAGTACTAGGTTCACTGGCTTTCTTGCCATCTAATTGAATAACCTCAGAATTCCACTGCTAGTGACTCACCTTATGCTGGATGAGCTGCATCTTAATTTTGTCTGGATCATTTGCGATTTCAAGCTCTGCATCCAAAGTCTTTTCTGACTCGTCCAGCCATTCTGTAAGCTTGTTCCAGGCTTCATGGAACTGCAGATAAACAATAATTTTCACTTGCACACAGATGTAGGTTAATATTCAAAATATTCAGTGCGCACTCAATCTTGAAGATATTAAACAGATCATACTCAGAAATATGCAACAATCCAGACTAAACTGGCAGAGCTAAATGTTGGAAAGGCTGGACTGTTCTTTTAGACTCTCATGTACTTGGTTCCATGGAATATTTATAAGTATCTCATTCCTTCTCATAAAAATTCTTTCTACATAGGACAGTATAATACAAATGTTACAGATGGGGAACTAATGCATAACAATATTTTTTACCTGACACAAATATATAAATCTAGTTACAAGCCAATAGAGATTTGAATCTACAGCTTCCAGATTACATTGCACAATGACATTTTCACTAATTCTTGGGAGCTTTCCTGCATGTAAGAATGTGCAGCCCTCATGCATAGACAGCACTGCCTCAATTTTTGTAGGCAAAGCTGTTGGTTTCAAAACATACTGTAGCATAGTTAACCTCTACCTCATTTCAGACTACCAAAAAAAAAAAAAAAAAAAGAGGTGGCAGGGGAGCTAGGGCATGAGGTGCTGTAAACTTAGAGGAAAAGTATATTAGGTTGATGAAAAAGAAAGGAATTGGCTAAGGAAAAAGGGGACTCCATAGTTCAGAGCAGAATAATGGGTGAAGATGCAAAAATGTGCCACTTGCTTCAGAAAGTGATTCATTTATGGAAGTAATCTTGACAATTACACTAAAAGATTGAGCATGTAACCTTACACAAAACAGAGAAATCACCAATAAACATCCAGAGTTTTACAGAGCCCTACTACTTGGCTGGAAAGTGAAGATTCTTCCTTTCAAATAAAAGTATCTAGGTAGACTAAAGCAACTGCTGTCCTGGCTCAGTCCAGCTAGATATGTTGCACCAACTCTCCTGTTTCCTTTAAAAGACTTTAAACAACATGACATTTAAATGTGAGTTTAGTTACAACAAGGCGAGTCTCCGTTTGCTGTGGATTAACACCTGCCACAGTACCTGCTTGGCACGCTTCCTTGCATCATCCAATGCTCTTCCTCTTTCCACTAAGCGCTGAACTACTTTTTCCCACCTACTCTGGACACTGATAAGCAGATTCTTTATAAGGACCACATCCTGTTTCTGGCTGAAGTATTTCAAATGTGTTCCAGTTTTGTCCAGGTCAATAATCTGGTCTCGGTGGGCATTCACTTCATTGGCAAAGACCTTCCAAAAAAAACAAGACATTATTTTAAAAGATTTGTAAGTCCTATAGCATGCAAAGAAACATGGATATCCAAGAAACAATGCAATTATCTACTTTAGTAGAGAGAAAGTATAAAATATCCCTTTGAAACTATACCAAATTTTGCTTAGGCATTAATACAACCAGTCTGTGGATTCAAGAAATGGAAAGGAGACCTGCTGCTGTTTCTTTTCATACCTTGTGTTCATCAATTTGAAACAAGACAGTGTCCAAGATAAGACTTGGCCGAGAAGCCACTGTCAAGGTTTGCTCAGCTTGAGTGAGCCAGTTGATGAAGTCTTGCAATGAGTTGTGGAACTCCATTGCCAAACTGAGGGCTTCTTCCAGTTTGATCTGTAAGAACACACCATAATTTAGCAGCAGTGGAAGGTTTATAGGAAAATAAACCATGTTATGGCTGAATGTAATTTGGATGAGGGCCGCTGTGTTGAACATCTTCCCCTAATATTTTTCCCAGGGTAATGCTGTCACAATCTGGATTCTTAAACAGCACAGAAATAACAGCTATCATCATCATCATCATCATCATGCAGAACAAAAAGATAGAGCAGAGGACCCCCTGAGGATTGAGTAGGCAAAATACCATATACAGATTTCCACAAATTAAAAAAGCCCACTCTGTGCTAAATAATGACATTTACAAGTATTCAGAAAGGAATCCAGAAGCATAATATTCTACCTTGATTCTGCTGAATAGGGAACATGTGCAGTACCAGTACTGCATGAAAGTTTGTCAAGAAAGAGTTAGAAAGCCCTCTGGCCCATCAGATAACATTTTCCTTCCTTCTAATTTGCACTTGGGGGTTGGGAATACTCCTTGCTACAGAGCACAGGCCAAGTTTTGACATTCCCTCAGCTGGAAAGGCCTTTGTCAAGAGGAGCAGCAGCTTTATCTGCTCTCTTCCACCAAGTGGTTAAGACTTCATATGGCAAAAAAGGATCACAAATCAGGGTCAAATGGAGTATCTCTCATAGATCAGCCTCTATTATTTTATTTTAAATACTTTGGGGATGCCTTTAAAAAGTAAAATCTTCTCAAGACAGCATACACAATAGGAAGATACAAAAATGTACAAATAGGCAATAAAATAAATAAAAGTCCATAAAATTATGAAAAATAGATTATGCCAATAAAATCTGCAATCCAAAGATTAAAAGCAAGCAAGCAAAAAGACGGGTCTTCAGAGCCTTCTCTAAGACCTGCAAAGAAGGGATCCACAAATCACTGACGGAAGCTAATTCCAGAGGTGTGGGACCACCACTTAAAAGGCCCTCTCTAGCTCATAAGGGGCAGTATCTGCACAGTGGAGGGGAAGCGCATACCCATTATACCTCTAGACAAAGATGATCACTGGTGCAGTAAATGCATGTTCCCTGCCTAACACCACGGATCAAATCCATTCCAAGAGAAATGAGGCTGCAGATTTCCCCCCCTCAAGAATAGCTTCTTTTGTTTATTTAATCACTTCTGTCCTTTGTGAACACATTTGCCTCAAGATTTAATTTATAGCCTGACTCAGATTAAACTGTTTAGCTATGTTTGGAAGTAATTTTCCAAAGAATGTCCACCCCTGTAAAAACCTATGGCTATGAGTAAGATGCTTTTGCCCGAAGATGAGGTGGTATCCCAGAGGGCAGAACAGAGATGTTGCAACTTAAACCTTTTAAGAACTGTTATGTTCACAATGCCAGCAATAAAATTAAGATCACTTCCAAGCCAATGAAACGATGGGCTTAATGGCTACAATGGGTTTATGTACTCCTTGGGGATGTGTCCTAATGACCGCAGGAGGACACATTTACATTTAGAGACACTGGGCTGCTTGAGGCAGCACTGTATAGTTTCTTGATCTGCGTATTCATATGATGCATCGTTTTTCACTAGTGGCTTCTAAAAGTTGCCAGAACTATTCCGTATTTAAAATAATCTAATATTATGGTTCAATTCAGAGAACTTTGTCGTGTTCATACTATAACATACTTTTCGTTCACTGAGCTTTGTTTCTACTGATTCCCATTTTTCTTTAAGATTATTTATGTCCTGTTCAACATTTGTTTCAACAGACTCTGGGCATCTTGCAAGCATCTGTAAGCCCTTTTGCAACAGGCATTTATATGTTTCTTCTTTAGCTTCAAAGGCAGCACAGAGTTCCTAAACAAAAAAGAAAGATAGCCAACATCATTAATGCATAAACATTTATTCTAAAATGTGAGCACTATCATAGGGAAGGTGCATGTGGCAGCATCATGGTGTTCTGCTCACTCTGGCCAAAAAGGATCAATTTAGAAAAAGGAAGATTAGATAGGTATATAAGACAGCAATGCACGGTTATCCCATAGTTAAGTATAATATTTGTATTAACCAATTTGCAGTGTGCATTTATACCAAGAAAAAGACACACATAATTCCACATTAAAAGTGGTAAGTAACCCTTAAGGTTAATGAGTGTGACTGGACTTGTTGCCTTCGGTGGCTGTACAAGCCTAACACTCACGTTTTAAAAGCATCCCATCCCTACTACATGAGACCATGCTGCAATTCCAGTCCCGTAGTCTGCCATCCAGAGTCAAGTTCCAGGCACAAACCACCAGCAGGTCACTCACTCTGCCTCAAAATTACAAAGTGGCTTATGGTTTAGTGACCTGACTTTCAGAAAACAAACAATTATCCAATGAAACCCGATATATTACTTGTTCATGTATCCATCATAGGCTTGTGGCTTATGCGCTTACCTCTCTGGGAAAAATACAGGTCCACAGTGATCAGGGCTGGTCTAAAGTAAAGCTACAATCCAAAGAAGGCCATGGGGCTACTTTATTAAGGATCCCATTGTAATGTTTTCCAACTCCTTTTCTTGGCCTTTTAATGTGGACTTATCACCTGAGCAAGCTTTTCTATGAAATATATGCTTAGGCTAGGATCCAAAGGAGGGCCATATGTGTGGAGCATACATGCTCTGCTTAGCTGGAGCACAAGTGCCCCTTTCTTTGCATCCCAGGCCTAAGTTGCAACTTGACATTTGCTTAATTACTAGGTTCAGAATTGTAAACCAGGGATGCTTCCAGACAGAGAGCTCCTACCACACTGTGCAGCTACCACACTTTTATTTTCTTTTTCTTTTTCTTTCTATTTCTTTCTTTCTTTTTTTGTAGAAGCAATGGTGGGAAAACACAGGAGAGTTACACACGGAAGACAATGACATCTGCCCCAAACCCCATCTGATAAAAACTCTGTCTCTAAGGGAGAGACAATAAAAGCCTGGTCTGGAAGCATGCCTGGTGTCTTAAATTCCAAGTGCTAGAGACTTTTAATGAGGTTCTGGCTCCAAACTGAGACCTCTGCTTCATTAAGACATTGAAAAGAGAAGACAACTACTATTGTGCTCTTTGGCACGTTAAATAAATTAGATACTTTGTCTCTGTGTACTGGTAATTGACATTATGTAATGAATTCAGAAATAGTAAATGGACAGTGGAGAAAATTCTGTGATCCTTGACTATCTTTTACTTTTGAGCTCTTTACTATGAAGTTGTGAGTATATAAAATTTGGTGTAAGAAAAGAATAAGAGGAATGAAGATTATACCAGAGCAACATAAAGATGTCTAAACTTTATAGCTGAATGCTAGAGCCACCAGAATACCTTGGAATCTTTTTCCCTTGTAAATTAATGCTGAGAGCTGCTCAGCCATACAGATATACCACACAGTCAGTTTTGCAACATGGTAATTTACCAAAAGAAAAAAAGGTTGGGAGAGAGTGAGTGAGTGACAGTCTTCTTATTAAACAACTTTACAGACATTTCACTGGGTAGCAATTGAAAATGCTTCACTATGAATGGTCACAAAGGTTTACTTCCCAAATTGGGACCATCTGCAATATTAAGATCCTTACCATATGGGTATTAAGCTGTTCTTTTGCCGTCTCTGGTAAACCACCAACTGGTTTCGATGCCAAAAGCTGACGTTCAGTTTCTGTCAACCATTGTTGCAGATCTTCAACTTCACCATGGAAACCTTGGGCCTAAATGATACATCACCACAGCACTTCAGAACATATTTCAATATTCTAATGTGCTACATCAGCTAAGAGGCTGCAAAAGTTGAACATATTAAATCAGACTTAAATCAGACCTAAAAGAAAATACCACTAAACCAAAAACACTCTCTGGGGATTAGACTGAAGATTATTGTACATACAATGAAACAGTGTTGAATGTGAAAGAAAGCCTCACAAACACTTCATAGATTGTATGGAACTTATTAATGGATAAAGAAATGTATATATTTGGTCGTTAACTATTACATTTTAAATCCCAATTTATGATTCAGGTTAGTATACATGAAGATGAAACTGGAAATGCCTAACAAATTCACTCATATAGTAAAGATGGCTGAAAATAACTATAGTATTATTATGCAGAGACCAGTTGTTATACAAAGGGAAAATTAAGCATACAGACGCAGTGATATTCAAGATTTATAATGTTATATTTCAATTATTGCTAATTAACTAAGGCCCAATACAGCCAACATGAAGCATTTCTAAGTAAAACTGCTTTCGATTACAAAGAGCAAAGTGCATCCTTAACTCTCCCCTCGAAGTCAGTAGGCTTTACAGTTTGATGCAGATGGGCTTGCTTTTCAATTTTCATACACACCTGGATCAAAGCACTGTTCAGCTGCTGCTTCCTTTCTTCTGTTTTTTCCAAGACATTTTGCCATCGCTGATTCAGAAGTTCCAGCTTGCTTTGTAGATTGCTTGCTTCTTCAACGGCACTTGACTGAATCAGGTCATTTCCTGCTTTCTTAACTGTTTCCACAGTGGACTGGTGAGCTAAGACATCATTTTGCAGCACCTGCAGTTGTAAACATTTCAAGCCATACCATATTTTAATCACTACTTTCACTTGTCCTGTGCAGCTCCATCATTTCAATAAAATTCTACTGACAGTATGCAGAACTAGTATAGATTTCAGGGCATGCCAAAAGAAATGAAACTTGAACTTTCATTAAGATTTAATAATATCATGGATCAATGTTGAATTTTCTTTACATTACATGCTTTGATGCATTCTATTTGTAAATGAACCTACAGTCAAGTGAGGCACTTTTAACTTTCCTCTGCTAACAGGAATATATTGGTTGCAATTTTATTGCAATTGCTGATACTAGGGTGTGGGAAAATGCAAGCTAGATGTAAAAGAATGAACACTCTTCATCAGGATGTCCGAAAGGTCCTAAGAGAGAAGGCAACTATAACTGAAGACTACGTCTAAGCAAGAAGCACATGAGCTCAGAGATTTGCTTTGCAAATAGGAATGCAGTGTTCTGCCAATTCGTTCAAAAAAGCCATCCCAGCCTATCCAAATCTTTCAACTTGAAACAAGATTATGGGAAATGAACAAAGAAGCCCAGCAGGATAGTTTCTAGTCCTGAAATACATTATAGGGAGTGCAAAGAACAGGGTTTTAAAATAAATAAATACAGAGCATCAGGTACATGGAAATTGTAGAAATTGATGCATTTTGCAGGAATGTCTTATTTGCAACAGTCAGACCTTATATTCTTTCAGTTCAGGTAGTCTGTTTCCAAGAGTTCAACAGAGTGACAAAAGGTTCAAACCCTATAAAATGCCACGTCTGCACAGTCTGTGCTGTGATCACAGTATTTCCTCTTCCACTATTCTATGCCTAAATAACACTACCCATCCATTTCATAGGACAATTTCCATGGTCACTTTGATTTCTACATAATGTACAGCCAACATTCCTGGAAGGTAATTCCCGTGAATAATATTTTCATGAATTTGGATTGCCGCAGACACACTGGACACTATTTGGCAGCAATTTCTGTAACTGTAGCGGCACATTGTTCACCAGTCATAGGAATTACCCCAAGTAGTTCATCTGTCTATGTGAAGAGTTTGGTTCTATTGGCAAGTATTGTGTGGACACAAAACTAACTGAGTGACTGTGGAACAATCTACAAGACGAAGTGGTCTTGATAGTGCAGGAAGAAGCATAGGCCCCTGTGGTAGCAAGAAGAACTTGATTCTTTATGGAAGGAGTATATTATGTTTGAATTTTTATCTCCCTCCTGTCATGGTACTCTTACACTCTGTTGCTTGATTTCAGCTATGTGAACAGTTGTATTTTTTCATTGTTCTAAATATTTTAACAGTAGAAGTTTATTACAGACAGAGATGGCCCTTCCCTTTTATTTTCTGATGATGATTCCTAAGGACAAGGACCACCGCTTGCCAACTTCCCAATGTTTTTGATGATCAAAGAGGAAGTTCTATTTTGTGATCGGTCTCCTCCCTGGAAGACTGAATTAGCAGGAAGTACATAACAGCATCTGTTCGTTGAACCCTTTTTGTACCTGCAATCCATTTATTAAGCCAGAGGGCTATGTGATAGTTTGCCAAGAAGACTCAAGAAAAATAGCAACTTGGTCTGAGCCATCTATGATTGGGGAGCTTAAACAAAAAAGAGATAATTATACCTTTGCAACAGAAATTATGGTTTCTTACATACATATGTATCTTCATTCTTTATTTTCAGAAACCATTCTTTTAAGATGCAAAAACGTTTTTACTAAGTATTGTCATCAAAAAGTCCTAAAGATATCTGAACAGTAAACCCAGAGTTACCAGTTACATACATGATGTTTGGCTAGTTCAATTTCAATAGCCTTCGGGTCACCACCCACAGGTTTCTGTTCATTCAGCAGGTCTTCTGTGTGTGTCAGCCATGTCAGCAACTCATCCAGGGCATGCTGGAACTGCCCCAAAGCTAACAAAGCACCTTCCAGCTTATGCTATAATAAAGAAGGGTAATACAAATTGAAATCATTACACAGTGCTAAGCTTACATGTGTTTGACATGAGTTTTGTTCAACAAATCCCTAAATGAATGATTTGGAATAAGGAGGTACCATCCAAACATTATGTCATACATTTGAAAGCAGTAACTTTACTTGAGAACAACATCAGAAAGCATGCCATACCTAAAACACTATTCTATGACTTATTTTTAGAATGGTCTTCCAGAGTGGGTTAGAATATAGGAAACATCCTCTTCTTGGATGAACTGAATGAATTAGTTGACTTGCTCAAGGTTGTCCAATCAGCCTCATTCTTGATTAGGGATTTATTTATAACTGTATCCTTGCCATTGAAGCCCAATAATGTCTCCCCACCCACTTCACATGTCTGGTTTAATATCATGCACTTGATGTGGCAACCTGCAATTAAACTCTGACCCTGAACTTATTTCATAGAGTATGTTCCCCTCATCTTTTATTTTTATCTTTGCTGCTGCCCCTTTTTAAATACAGCAAGTCTGTGAAAAGGAATTAGCTTTATTTTAATTTTGCAAAACTGATTCATGTAATGTTTGTTTTCATTCCAGTTAAAATGAACCCTAAGTCCATATCATTGTGTTTGAAAACATTCCTCTCTTGTCCCCTTTTTCTCTTGTTCCTTTCTTAACCTCCAAATGAAGCCTGAAAACTCCCCTTTGAGCAAAGGCACTTCTTCAAAGCATAAAATGGCATACTCATTACTTGCATTAAATGGACATTATGGTATTAAAACTGTACAAGCCTTTCAGCACAATATACAAGAAGGTGTATTGCCAGCTACATGTCTGCAGCATAGTTTCCATTTACCTGACGGCTCACAATTTTATCCTCCAGGCTTTCCCACAGCAGCTTGAGTTCAGCCAAGGGGTCTTGTACAGTGTGCTTATCGCTCTCTTCTGTAACCTTCTTTAACAAGAGCTCTGCTTGGTGGTTCAGGCGTTCCATTTCTATCTGCTGCTGATAGGCTTCTTTCTTGAATTGCTGTTGAAAACCAGGGACACAAATGTCAAAGAGGAAGACGACCCAGAGAAGAGCACAACAGTGCGGTTAGGTAATTCTAGATCCTGGACTTAATGGTCTTATTTGTGCTGGAGTGCAGGGGAGAATCCCTTTATTAGGAATGTGCAAACTGACAAAACTCCAGCTCATATAAGTTTTCTGAATGCCACCTTGAAGATTGCTGTGACTTGAGTCTTTAGCAGATTGCAAGCTTTGTTTTTCTTTTAACATGAAAATACACATGCATTTTCATGCATATTTTTCCACATGTAAGCACCCATTGTGCACATTTTTGAAATGGATGTGTTTTTTCCTCAGTAATCTCACTATATTTGTGTACATTTTTCAAAAGAATGCATTTTTTTTAAAGTACGCATGCTGTTGAATGCATTTTTCTCAGTCCATGAATCATATTACAGAATTGGAAATGTATACGGAATTCAACCACAGATTCAAATCTGTATCTGGTCTGGAAAGTGAGAAATGCACAAAATAACTACAGGAACAAGCCTAAACTCAGTGACTCCATAAAGAAAGAGAAATGCAGAGTGCTTTTCCTTTCTTCCTTCTTTTCCCCTTCATCAGGATGGAGAATCACTATTGTACCTAACCTCATCCCTAATATTATTTTAATCCCTTGATTTCTGAAAAGTAATTGCCACCCTAATTTACAATGATCAGTAGAGAAATAGATTTGAATGTTAGTTCGTAAACATTTCCAGTATTTTTTTTTTGTTTTTTTACTGGTTCACCTATGCTTTGCACATAAAATAACAAAGCTGAAATAGATCATCTGGCTTAATCCTGTGCCCTAAAACAGGATATCCTATACTATCTCTGGTTCCTGTGTAAAATACACAAAAGCATCCAGGTATTATGAACTGAATGAGTCATATTTCCATTCCAAATGTGCTTTTAGAGTTGGCTGGGGATTTTAGCTTCATAGCTCAGTGTGCTGTTGTGGAAATGAAGTGATCTATTAATGTTTAGGAATAATCCAGTGCATCAAGAATGACAGACTTTGCAGGAACTTGCACACATTTTAAAAGGGAAGTCGAAAGTCATAAAAGTAATGGATGCAGTGAGAAAAATTGACCTTTTTTTCTTTTTTAACCCACAATTAACCTGCAGGGGAAACTGATGTCATATTACTTTCAGACTCATAAGGGCCATAGGTTTTAAAATGACATGTACATCTGAAAATAATTTATTTCTTTTATCACGAAGTGAATACACACTGGTTCTGGATCATAACCCTCACAGAAAGATGTCAAAAAATAATAGGGTAGAGTTTTATACCTTTAGTTCTTCTGTTTGCTGTTTCACTGTTTCTAGGTCTGTACCAACTGGTGACATTGAACTTAATTTACTGCCGGCAATATCAACCCAATCAAATATAGCCTGTAAAGTAACATGTGCAGTTAAAGTAATATAATTATGTATAATACTATGATAAATAAGACTATAGCATGTTAGTGGTACAATGCTCAGTACAGCATAACTATAATTTAGTTGTTACTGCTACTATGTATATGCTACATTGCGTGAAATAATAAGTTTCACAGGGAACTTATAAGTTAGCCCTGCTTTTTTTTTCTCCATACCAACCTTGTATGCATTTTCCCATCTCTGAAAGTAATTGTGGGCAAATATTTTTAATCTGGAGAAACCTACAAGCTATGTGTCAAAATACGTGCTTATGTAAACAATTAAACAGTTCATCTTCAAAATCCCACACAAGTATTTTGCTGCAAAAGCCTAATAGAGTCTCTGGAACGTGTGAGCAGAGTTACTCTTTTATCTGGAGTTCCACCATGCTTTGAACATCTTTGGAGGGAACTCAGAACAACACATTCAAACACTCTTCCAGTGCCATACTCGTATGTGACCCAAGATGACTGGAAGTAGCATACAGTCCCCCCTCCACTGCAGGCTCCCAACATTCAAGAAGTTGGATGGCAAAGACTATTTGGCTCCTTCTTAATCACGACTCAGTTATGCCTCAACAGCTGTGTTCATACTTCAACTCCACCCTGGCAGAAAGTATTATTTTTAAGAACATACGTACATGTGCATAGCTCAGCTTATCTCAAGAGTGCATCCTTTACACCTCAATAAAATCTAGGTGCTCACATACTTAGTTCCAATGAGAAAAGAGTTCCACATCTCCTTGATGTATATACCACCTTTCCAAATGGATGGCAACCAGTGCTTATTGAAAACAATGCAGGATGGAGATTAAAGGATGGATGGCTTTTAGAATGAGGATTAAGACTAAGAAATGAATACTGGGACCTAAGAGTCCAATAAAGCACTAAGGACAACTTCTTGGACACATGTTAGTGAGTGCAAAATGGTGGGACAAATAATTGTGTGTAATGTTGCCCTGTCTTTTCCACATTTTTCCTTGCCCAATGTCAGGACGGAAATACAGTGGTACCTTGGCTCATGAACTTAATCCGTTCCAGGACTCTGGTTGTGACCCAAATTGGTTGTGAGCCAAGTTAAATTTTCCCATAAGGTTCAATGTAAATAAGGTTAATCCATTCTGGAATCTTTTTTTTTTAATCAGAAAAATGTGAAGCAAAGTGACAAGAGCAACAAAGATCGCAGCCATCTCCCTGCCCGCCCCCAGCACAACCGAGATCGCGCCTGTCATCCCTGCACATGCCCATCATCCCAGCACGCTGGGGGGGGGGGGAGATGGGTGCAATCGTGGGTGCACTGGGGGAGGGAGATGGGCATGAATGGAGCGCGCTGGGGGAGGAAGAGACAGGCGCAAATAGGGCATGCTGGGGGAGGGAGAGACAGGAGCAATCTTGGTCTCCCCCCCCCACCCCCAGCACGATCATGGCCATCTCCCCACTCAGGGGGGTGGGGAGATGGCTACGATCTTGGTCGCCACCCAATGAGGAGTTCGCGACCCAAGTCAAAATGTTCATGAAATTTTTGTTTGTGACCCGATTTGGTCGCGAAACAAGGAATTCGTCAGCTGAGGTACCACTGTAGGATGTTTCCTGCATCAAGTAAAAATGGCAATGCAGTTTTCCTGCTTATACCACTGAGATATGCAATAATAAAAGCCCATCCCTGTTTTTCTCACATTAAATAAAATACTTCAGATTTAGCTGCTGCATTTTGAATTCCCAGGAAGCAATATAATGATTAGCACACAGCAGTAAAATGATTCTGGGTTTTAATTAGCTGGCTATTTGAATAGGATTCTCTTCTATCATTATAGACAATGATGTGTTGTGCACAATCAAAACAAGTCATCTTGTCTTCTCTCTTTAAGCCGCCTCTCTCTTTATTGTAAGCCAGCTAGGAAGGTCTTGGCAGTTACAGGGGGCCTATAAATATATGTAAATAAATATAAAATAAGCCGCAGTGCTTGTTTAAACTGGCAGTATGTGCCTGCATGTACTTTGCACCACTAACTTAATGACCTGCCTGGGTGTAGCCTGTTGTGTCATCTGAGCCTGGGCCATACCACTTGTTGAGGGAGAAACAGCCCTCAAATAACCCATGGTCAGATGTGAGGGTTGTTTCCCCTGCAAACAAGCCATGCCACCCAGGTTCAGACAACTTTACAATTAAGTCCTGCCAGGGTCAGTTATTAGAGTAAGAGAACCCATCACTTGCCAGCACATATTTTGGATTTAAACCTGGCTTATTTCAGTCATGGTGGCTTTTTTGATCATTCAAATAGGCCCAATGTCTGTGATCCAGAGCAGTGAAAAGGAACCCAATTTACCACTGCAAATGATCCAATGAAGGGTAATATTACAGCCTGCTGAGCAGGTAAGATTTAGCAGGGCTACTGAGATAATACAAGAGGGCTTTGGCAAATATGGGATGCTACTTGCTGAATGGAATCCTGATGAGCTAGACCTTGCCACTGAGAATTACACACTTGTGCTTAAAAGGATAGAAACGTGTTCAGGTGAGAATAAGCATCAATTCTGACCATGGTGCCATTTTCATATGGGGAACATACTGGAAGTCCTATTTTTCTGATTAAATGTGCAAAGGATTGCATCTTCAATATGTTAATGTAATAAATAAAATGGGTTATGTAATGCTTAAATAGTACAGCAGTGCCAAGAGCACTGATAAACGTTCAGTTCCTTGCAGTTTTACCTCTTATTCTTTCAAAATCCTTGCTTGAAAAACCCACAGCTAAATAATACAGTACTCCTGTTGAAAACCCAGTGTACCTGAACTAAAACTTTAACAGTAGCAATAGATGGTTAGGAAACTGGCAGCCATATAATGCAAAGATATCCAGTTACAGACATGCCTCTATTGAAGACAAATTACATGTCAACTAATATGACACAGTGCCAAATTAAAATATATGGTAACTTTCAAGTGGGTCTTCTGACCTTTTCCACTTGAAAGTTACTATCTCATCTTATTTGGACTCTGTATCATGGAGACCAGCCTCTTTTGGCAGGGCTTCTTTGATGGGACTTCCTGTCCCTCTTTCAGCAGGGCTTCCATAAGTGGAGGAGCTACAGCAAGCCATGGGTTTCACCGCTTCTCCTCTCCTTGCCTGCACTTTCTTGCATGTAGTGGCCAGGGGTGGGAGAGGGGATGCAAAGCGTTCATCCTCACTTTGTAAAATATCACAGTTTCCCATTTCATGCAAGAATGGGGAATGGTGGTTTGTGAAAATCACAGTTAACAAACCATGATTTGATGGTCTTCACAAACATTGATTTTTACAAACAATGAATAGAAGCTTCACGTCTTGCTCACATGCACAAAGGAGAAATGAGAGATGGGAAGATGAGTGAGCCTGAGGCTTGCCATGGTTTACACACAAGCTATCTGAATGTGTCTATGACCTGTAAAAATGACTTATACATATACAGTGGTACCTTGGTTCATGAACTTAATCCGTTCCAGGACTCTGGTCATGACCCAAAATGGTCATGAGCCAAGTTAAATTTCCCCATAAGGTTCAATGTAAATAAAGTTAATCTGTTTTGTAACTAATTTTTAAACAGGAAAACGTGAAGCAAAATGACAAAGAACAACAAAGACCAGGGCCATCTGTCCCCCAACCCCGAGCATGGCCATGTCCCCACCCCCCAGCACAACCGCTAACACGCCCTTCATCCCAGCACGCGCACGTCATCCCAGTGTGCTGGGGGGGGGGGAGACGGGTGCAAATGCAGGCGTGCTGTGGCGGGAGAAGGGCGCAATTGTGCTGCGGGGAAGATGGCTGAGGTTGTGGGTGCGCTCCTGCAGGAAAGACAGATGCAATCAGGGGCACTTGTACAGGAAAGACGGGTGTGATTTCGGCCATCTCCCCACCACCCTCAGCACGATCGCGGCCATCTCCCCACTCAGGGGGGTGGGGAGACAGCCACGATCATGATCACCACCCAATAAGGAGTTTGCGACCTGAGTCAATTTTTTTATGAAATTTTTGCTCATGACCCGATTTGGTTATGAACTGAGGCATTCATGAGCTGAGGTACCACTGTACATAAATACAATTTGCATCAAGGAATCAGGCTTGAGAGAAGAGAACGAATCAACACTTTCCCCTCATTGTACCCTTCATCCAGATTACATGTGTACACTTTAAGGGCAAGAAAAATATATAATATTATATAACATAACATAAAATATAACATAGCATAACTTTTATGTACACAACTTTTGTGTACATGTACACAACTTTTGACTGTCAAAGCCTTACTTTGCTTTATTTACATGTGTTTTTTGATTAGTTGCTTGATCTTAAGTTTAGTAAAGGCAACACCATATTAAAAACACATCAAGAAAACAAAAGAATACATTAGCCTCAAATTAAAATTGCCCAAATCTTTGAAAAAGCTAACCTTGAAATTTTTCAAAATTAAATTAACTTTACCTGCAATCCATCTTGATACTGAACAGCAGCTTGCATGGCTTCCTCAAGTTTGTCAACACGCTCTTTCCATACTTTATTTAAAGCATCCCAAGCAGAATTTAGCTGTGTTTTAAGTGAAGATGCAGTTCAGTTAACATCTAAAAGCTAGTACTTAAATCCATAAGGTCTAGCAGATCAGAAGACCTCTCTATTTGTGATGCAAAAGGAAGGCATGAGCCTCCCTAGAAATTGCCATGGGAGTAAGGAAGAAAACTCAATATGAAAACTAGTTGTATAATCATATCTATCATGATTATTGCATCATTTTCAACTAGAAGCAGGATGCTCTTCACCCAAGAGTACCTGTGATGCTCATAAGCATCTGCAGCTTATGGGCACCCTATACAGGAGGTGGGAGAAACAGTAGAGGTGCTTGCCACCTCCCCATCTTCACACCCTACACCTTTGCAAGATAGTCTGTTTTGATTGTCTGGGTTTGGGTATGGAGAAAATGGCTGGAGAGTCCCCAAAATAGTTCACATTCTGACCTCTCCAGTCTCCTTCCATCTTTGCCTTCTGATATGCTGTTTTCCTCCTCTCCAAGGTCATGTTACCAACTTTGGAGAGTCTGCCAGTGAAGTTCTTTCTATGCCAGCAGCAAGGAGGACAGGGATCAGAAGCCCAGTTCCTTTCTCCAAGGTCAGAGTGTTATCTCCAATCTCAGAGCTTGGAATCCAACTATCCCATGGCCCCTCAGATGCTCCCCAGAGCCACACAATTCCTCCCTTATTCCCTTTACTTGCTGTGCATATATAGCTCAATGGTAAAACACATGCCTTGCATAATATAGAAAATATTCCTGTTATTTCCAACTAAAAAGATTTCTGTGATACCGCAGAAAAGTAATCATGATGACTGGAATGGCCGGACCAGTGTTTGACTGGCCAGCTGAATATGTTTTTTTGATGTACTAAAGCTTCCAAAATTAGAGATGAGCTGCTGGAATAATGGATATGCCAAATAATGTTTTCTGCTCTAGTGAAATGTAGGGTCTATTCAGATAATATTTCTAAAACTGGGTGCATGGCAAAATCAAGAGCAGCTTATGCATCTTTCCATCAATACTCACAGGTGGCAATACCAGGACTCAGAAATACTGGCATAGCTCCCAAGATATAATAACTTTAAACGAGTTAAAGAAGGAATTTTCCCTCCCCTCCCACCATACTGCAGCTACTGGTACCCATGGACAGCTTCTCCAGATATCAAGGGGTCCACCTAAATAATGTGGAATTGAGCACAGGGGCCTGTTGGGAAAGGGTAAAATCATCCAAAATTGGTCAGTGGCCCTGCCAATTTGAGACAGTTTCTCTTTGTCTGATATTAGGATCCAAGGCAGTGCATTTATTTGATTTCCCTAATCTAGGCATCCAAGATCTATCCTGTATGTGTTGAAGACCTAAGAAGGAAGTGGAGAATGTGCACAAGGCCTAGATGCACTCCTGATCTCATTGCAATGCAGTACCAGTTCCAGGGACTAAGTCGGAATATATCCCTCATGGGCAGGTTTTGTTAAATGCTCAGAATCTAGATGATCACCATACTTGTGACTGGGTGGCGCTTTAAAGCCAATTTGGCTTGTGACGATGATGGTCCCAGGCCACCGCATAGCTTTCTTACAATTCCTTCACAATTTGACAGGAAATTTCTCTCATTCGGGATGCTCATCTTTAGGGGAGTCTGTTTCTTGTTCTGGGACATGGTTAAATAGATGAATAATTCCATGCAGCAAAGCACAAGGTTAAACAAAATGTTTTATAGAATTTGTCTAGTTCAGGAAGCTGCCTGGAAAGTTTCTGGATCAAACTAAAAGCCACTCTGATGAATTTTGCTGTTAACTCCAAGGAGAATATCACTTTTGTGTCAAGCCTTTAATGTAGGTGCTACATATCAAGGGATTCCTTCCTATCCACCACACAAGAACATAAAAAAGCAAATCATTACAAGTCTTATACCTCATCGATGCTCTTTTTCACTAGTGGTTTGTCAGGTTCTCCACATGCAGCTATGAGTTCCGAGCCAAGGTTCACGACTGCGTCCAGCTCTTCTTGTAATCCATCTATTTCTTCTTTGATAGTCTAAAAGAAGAAGCATGTTAAACTTTGCATACTATCACATTTAATTTTTAGGATTACTAAACTAGGTTAATTTAGAATAAACAATACGGTTTCCTTAGGCGGTGTTCATCCAACCTAGTATGAAGTTGTGACCCTGTAGAACTGACTTGGAATAAAGAAGATTCTGCTGGCCTGAAGCCAAGAGCAGTTAAAGAGCAGATCTTTGAGGGCCTCACTGGGCAAGAGGCTGCTGAAATGGGGGCTTAACAGTTTCCTCTTCTCAAGAAAATGGCAGGGGGCACTACGTAACCATCTGCTCATAGAAACAGCTTTTGGTTTATTGAACACATTTAATGGTTTACTGAACAAAAGCCACAACACTAAGAAAATAAAGGGAAAATTGGTTTCCTTAAAAATTAATAGCTGACATTTTCGAGGCATTATCAAATAAAGACAAGGAACTCTACAGCCAAGGTCTGGTGATACATCTTTCTGTATATCCTTTTGGCTCTGTTGCTCTTTTACCCATGCTGCAGTAGATATGATACCTGGACAAAAGCTGGAATCCAAAGAAACAAGCCCAATGGCATGTTCTAACCTTTACTTTTAGACACCCACCCCCAGCCCCTGCAACACACTATATTACATATCGTATATGAACGCCCTCTCAGCTTCAAAACTGCTTTAACAGTTGGCACTGGGGAAAGACATGTGTCTGAAAGGTAAACCCAAATATTTAGAAACCATTAATCAAAAGTATGAGTGCACTGACTCTATTTGATAATGATTCAGAAATGTGGCTACTAGATATTTTTAAAGGAAGGTAATATTAATTTTCCTAGTATCTTATCATGTGTTCATCTATATAGGGTGTTCTCCTGAGGAAATCAGACATTGTCTCGGGAACAGAACATAGCAATTTAGCCAGAAACACTAACGTCTTTATATAGAATGACTGGCAAGTAAGTGGGTACAGAATTGCTGCATTAGTTCCATGATTGCTTTTCACCTACCTCTGCTGCTTCTTGCTGCTGTTTTACCACTGAAGGGTCAATCCCAGCTCCTTCTAGTTCTCTGATAAAATCCTGAGTATCTTTAATAGTGGCTACAATAGCCATATGATCACACCAGAACTTCTCTGCTAATTCCATGGCATCGAGTAGTTTGGCCTCCCTTTCCTCAGCCAGGGTATGAATGTCTTCCCAGATAAGGACCATTTGATCCAGCTTATCTTGTACCACTAGGCAACAAAATATACTAGAGAGTTACAAGGGCAGGCAATGGCCATGATCATCTTCTATACAGATGCTTATGGAGACTTGTCTATGTGCTCATCTTGCAGAGAAAGATGGAATTTAGAAATCTAAATTAAGAGAATCCAACAGTGGACATTTAAAGATATCAAATTAATCATAACGGCACATAAAGAAACCAGATCATTTTAAGTAGCATTCATATCTCTCATGAAAATAAACTAATAGAAACTACTGGTTGGTTCCTCCTTTTTAAAGATTATATACACTGCTACTTTATTTATTCTACCTACAAAGAGGCATCTTCAAATCTGACATCCTTTATTACCTTTAGCAGATAGGTCCTTATGAGTTCCTTCTGAACGTGCAATCATTTCTTCCCCACGCTTTTTGAGTGTCTCATACACAGGTTGAAGTTTTTCCAGATCAACAGACACATTCTTATTTTCACTGATCTGTTCTTTAATCTTCTCAACCTCAGCAGAAATTGAAGGTGGCTGCCTCAAACGTTCAACAATACGTTCCAGGCTCTCAATAGTTGAATCTATCTTGTCATGGAACTATGCGGACAAATGGGCAGGAAACTGGGTAAGTGCCAGATTAAAAGGAATATCTACAAGGAGTTGGTTCAAACTAGGAAAATGTTATTGCTTAATAAAGATGTTTAAAACATCCTGAATGGTTTTTGTATATAAGACAGCTCTTTCTCATTCTCAACTGGTCACACAATATATACAGATTTATAACACACAAGAATTCTGTTAGTTCAAACAGTGAAAATTTATGCTTCAAATCCAGGTGTCTGGATTGCATCTGCTTGTTAGTCAACAAGGGAATCTCATAATACAGGCCAAAATCAGGAAAAGGCAAGGAGACAAAAATGCAACCAAAACCAGAACCCTGATTTCCTATGGGCACTAGCCATTTAGGGCACATTTGTATGCATGTTGAGACGGAAAAGAATCCTACCCCTTCCAGTGCTCCCCAGCCTGTATGGATGGCCGGAGTCGTGCTGGAAGTTGTAGGGCTCTTTTCCGTCTCAAGACATCCAATCTTGCACCTTCTTTTTTGATGGGAAAGAACTGTGTGAATAAGATATTTGTACTATCAAGTGGGTGCATAAACTGTCTGCATCCCACATCATTATTTCCATGCCATAACAGAGGGTGTCTCTGCACTCCTTTACAATGTGAAGACCCTGTGAAACATAAAGTGACAGAAATAAGCATAACATATGGTCAGATTCAACAAAACAAGCCTTTTTTTAGACTTGAGCTTTTGAACATTTTGTTCTTGGCAATGTAATATATCAATAAAAATATTTACAGAAATATCAGTTTTATATGATTTACTTAAACCCAATTCTTTGGTTACATCACTACAAAGGATTTTTATCACATCAGTGCTGTCCTATCATTAACATGTCCAGCGAAAGCACCCTCAGATTGTGAGGGCTATTATTCAGCAATCCAGACTAAGCCATTAACAGGCACTTTTAATTTTAATGATAAAGTATACAAGCAGACATGGAATTAGAGACTTTGGATAAATCCGCGATTTATCTAGTGTGGCCTTCAGCACAATACTATACATGGAAAACATCCTGCAGAGAGCTTCCTAAGAACAGTTACCAGAACATCCATGGATATTAAGGTGAAAAACTTTTTAAAGGTTTAGGGTTCTTCTAAAAGGATGGCTTCAAATGCTACCAATCAAAAGGCCTTACGCATCTGTTTTGTCTCTCCCTTTTTCATGGTTTTTGTAGGAAGAAAAAAGATGGGGAAAGTACATGGGCGGGTTACAGGCAGAAGATGACTGACCCCCACAGTCCCAATTCTGTGAATGAATCAGGACAATTGAATTGACCATGCTGAAGCATTCCGAAAGTGAAGAAAGCATGAGGAGGGGGGATTATTCCAGGTCCATCCCTCTCCATCATCATTTCTATCACCCTCTTCACTGAGAATAGTTTTCTGAAATAGAAAGATCTGTGGAGGCTCTCCATGCAATTTCCTTTCAGAATACCTGAAAAGAGCTACATTCAAAGTGTCACCCGGAAGCACACTCTAACTACCTTGTAACCTGTTTTCAGTAGGCAGGATAATCACTGCTCTACAATACTAGGAAAGAGGGAGGATGTGCCCTGCATGCGCACGCACATACACACACACACACACACACACTTGGGGAACTTAGTTTTCCATCCACTGTGTGTGGATAATAAAGTATCAGCATTTGGCAAACAACAAAAGCAGAATTCACCAAGCAGCGATTATATTACTTGAGGCCTTGGCCAGAAAGCATGGTGGTTGGATTGGATGGTCCCTGGTCTTCCCCAGCCCTTCTTTAGTCAGCGTACATATATATACTGACTTGCATTGTCAGGCAATTCCTGATAAACTAAAGAAGCCTTGAAGGCATGCATTAGCAATGGGGTTGATTGTGATCCTTTTGGATGGAATGAGTGGTACTTTTCTCCCCACTGTTAATTTTGGTGAAGTTTGCAGTAGAACTTCATGGCTGTCTTGCCACCATGAGCCTCTCTGATTGAATGAGTGGATGATCAAGATCACTGTTCTGTAGGATACTGATTTTATTATCCAGAGACACACTGTTTTGTAATTTTGTCATGGCGGTTAGGATGCATTTAATTCATTTAATATCCCACTGCCCATCCGATCTCCCCTCAAATCAGCCTGCCATCCCACCACCACTCCAGACTTTATCTTCAAAGCTATCCCGCCATGTAGCCTGCAGTGAGACCAACTCAAGGTCACTCAGCAAGCTCCATGCACAGCAGGGACTTGCCCCAAGGGGTTCCCTGGCCTGGCCTGTGACACCACCACACTGGCTCCTTACAGAGGATATTTTCCAGGATTTTTTCATTTTTAAAGCTGATAGTAGAATTCACACTTTTACCACAGAAGTATTTTCAAAGTAAGTTTTGTGAGTTAATCAGATTCACTTGTTTAAAAGGTGCCCTAATCCCTGGGCAGCTCAGAAAAGGAAATCTATGAGCACTGATACGAGCATTCATATATCACTGGTACCCTACATTCCTGATAAGCTCACAATGCATTTCAAGTGTGATATAAGATAACAGCATCCTCCACAGGGAATCCAGTTGCTCATCCAGTAAATAATGTTACCTGGGTAGACTGAGAAATAGCTTCATCCAGTGCCTGAGCTCGCTTTTTGACATTTTCCTTAATTTGGCTGTAAAGGGCATCAGCTGCTACATATTTCTCTTGGATTGAAAATCCTTCACGTGGGCTAAGTTCCAGCAGCTGAGGTCCTGTTTTGTTCATCTTATCTATATGAGGCTTGTGTTCCGCAATCGACTCTCGCAGTTGCTACAATGAAGCAAAAGACTCATCAGTATCTTACCACTTACATCGAGCTGTTTGCAAAGAATTCTGAACAAATATTCTTTGCATACTACAGCAAAGCAAAACTACTTTAACTATAGTTAGCATAACTAACTACACTCAGTCAGCCACAGGAGTAAAGGTGATTTGCTCTCAGCTCGGAACCAGTATTCTTTACACTAAGTTAGTCTCTCTAACTTATGCCTTCAAAGTGGATTAAATCCATCTTGAAGCAGATCATTTTCTGCAAGTCTGAAAAGTATTTGATGACCCTGTATACTGTATGTGATCCTTGATGTAGCCTCAGATGTTTGATTTACTTGCTTGTTACCACATTCAAGTACTGTTGCAAGCTATTTATAGTTGTATTTAAGCAGTTTGGCAGCTTTTACGATGCTGTTCCTTTATAAATCATTTGCAATGCTGGATAATTGGCCGAATGGTTTTTGCTAGTTGACTTGTGTCACTCTGTTCTCTGCCTACAGTTTCCAGACTCTTTTCTTGGTCAGCTAAAACACTGCTTTTAACTGTAAACTTTTCAAATGCACTTCTATGTATTTTAACTATTGTTTAACTCCTGCTTCTGCTTGGAAACACAGAAAGAATAAGCACTAATTGTTTACTAAGAAACTTAAACCCTGAACTATTATTTAGAGCCTGAAAAATATCAGTTCCTGGCTCCTCTGAGCTCACAAGAATAATCTCAAACTAAGGATATATTGCAATTTGATTTACTAATAAAATACATCATTTGTTGTTATTAAAGAGAAAAAGAGTGTTTTTTTAAAAGGACACTTGAGCAGTTTGGTAATGTTGATGTTTTAAGACTTTTAGGATTAATGGTATTTAATAAGATGCCAGCCAGCTTACCCGATGTTCTTCTTGTTGCTGCTTTAGAGTTTCATATTCAAGAGCTGGTGCTGGAAGCTGTGAGATTACTGTTTCTGTTTCAGTTAACCATGGCCAAATCTCTTCATACGTCTCCCAGAACTGGCTAACTAGAGACTGAGCCCGTTCCAATTGCAGGTTTCTCTTAGAATTCGTATGACAGAGCATGTCGTATTTCTGTAGGAGGCTTTCCAGTTTTGCCTGTTAAAGGAATTGCCAACAAACAGCAGCATCTATCAATTGGTTGAAGAAATCTTCAAGATGTCCACAAACCAGACAGTTATAAAATGCCCTGCCAGCATACACAACACCATACTAATCTGAATTTTTGTTCATAACAGGATAAATACTTGCATGCTGCTTTCCCAAACAGATACTAGTGTAGATATGGATCATGACAACAAAAAGAACCAAGCAAAAACATAATCCGGAATTATGCTCATCCAGAAGTAGCCCCCAAATTAAAGGTATTAAGGAACCCTGGGTAGCAGATAGCATAGACAGAACAACAGCTTTTCCAAGTGAAAGACTATATTTTGGCTATTGTTAGGTTTGGAAAATGCACCTGTAACATCTTGACTTGGATCCAGAGTCCAATCTGTACCTGGAAGGCTATTGATCCAACAGAGCATTTCTGCTGGTGGAATGGGGAGCAGAACATTTTCACGATTTCCACTATATCCCTAGTGCTCCTTTCACGAAGATCAGGGGATCCTCCAGAACAGTGTAAGAAGTGGAGCCAAGGTTAAAGGGGGAATCCATTCAAATCCCACCCCTCTCCTCCTACTAGCTGAAGAGCCCTAATCGGAAATCTGCTCAATGAGGGCTTCTGCTGGTAGAACCAAACTCTGCACCCAGCTTCTCAGCTATATGTTTAATGAGTAAATAGTTATTGTCAAACTAGCCCATACAATGCCACTATTAGCATAATACTTAATAATAATCATGTGCCTAAATCAGCTAGATGCTCTCCAATGTTATCCCATTCCCTCTCTCTTTGTCTCTCTCTCCCTCCCCCCACCCCTGACTAACTGGTTCTATGGGGTCCACAAGCAAAAGGAACTTGGTCCAGGATGGTGCACAGAAGAAACAATTTCTGCCATGAATGCTCCAAAAATTAAGTGGCAAAAATGTATTGTGAAAGGAAAGGTGTACAGAAGTGCAGAACTGATACAGCTGGAGGTGATGGAGCATGTATATGAAAGGGCTGCCAGCATGGCATAGTGGTGAGCATGCTGGGCTGCGAGTCAGGAGATCTCCATTCTGCCACGAAGCCTCCTGAGTGGCTTAGGGTCAGTCACTGCTTCTCAGCCTAACTCTCTCCACATGGTTGTTGTGAAGATAAAACAGAGAGAGAAAGATTATATACATCATCTTTGAGTTCTTGGAGAAAAAGTGGGCTATCAAGTTTCTTAACTGAAATTTCTTAGCTGAGTTTCTTAACTGAAAATACATGCTGGAAAATGTCAGATGGACAGATTATTATTACATTTATATCTAACATTTTTTCCTCTTGCATGGAATTTAAGACAGCTTACACAGTCCCCTTCCTCTCCATTTTATTTACCTCCAAATACCCTGTGAAGTAGCTTAGCCTGAGGCTCAGTGACAGCCCAAAGTCACCAAAGTGATCTCCATGGCTGAGTGGGAACTGGGACCCAGATCTCTGGTTTTGCATTTATATCCACTGGCTCTACAGTTATGCTGACATTTGGTCAGATTTCAACAGAAGAAATGAAAACTAAGGTCAATTACTGTATTTGACCAGCTTGTTCCAAGTATGCTTCATACTTGAGACAGAGTTTCTCAGTAGTTTAAAACAGAAAGCCGGGACTCAGGGATGGAAGCATGCTTTCTGGGAATTTGTATTTCTGGGATTCCCTCATGCCTGTCAGCTACAGCAAGCAATCTTAATGTGTACTTTCCCCCCGTAACAACCACAACAACCACAACCAATGTACTGCCAGAGATTTGACGTGGACTTCGTCAGTGTTGCAAGGGTACTTCTCTTCTCCTGTAGGCACAGGATGGCAGATGCAGCCAACTGGCAGCTTAGTTTTTCATTGCACAATTCAGTCCTTCTTGCAGCCCTTCTTGAGCGGAAATTACTTATGAACATAGACATTTGATGCAATTACTAAGCAACTGCAAGCAGTGCCTTATTACCTTCATAGCTAGTTTCTCCTCTTTTGTGCATGTCTTCATAATCTCATCCCCAGATGCAACAAGTTCTTCTATCATGTCCTTGTGTTTCAAAATCTCCATGGTAAATGCCTAATCACATAATAAAATACAATGATATTAAGAATATGAAGACGTACAGCAAAAGCATGCACTATAATGGTCTGCAAATCAAATCAAGGCAGAAGAAGTAACAGCCATTAATGAACAACATGACAAATGAAATCGCATTTCTTTACCTTTTGAACTTGTAACTGAGCGGTGGTCTGCTCACGTTCAAGCCTAATATCTCCCAGAGACATCAGTTTCTTCTCTGTTTCATCAACCCAGGCTAATTCTGCATCAGCTGCTTGATCAAACTAAAAAAAAAGATACAAAATAGCCATTCATGAGTATAATTCCTCAAATGTGTGTGTTTGTGTTAAAAAAAGAATCCTTGGTAAATAAATAATCAAAGAAATGGGGATCTCAGCTCAGTGCTAGACTGCACTGTTTACAAAGCTCTAAATTCAATCCCTTGGTCATATATACCAAAAGGCCAGCTCTATGACCAATTTCAGAGGGACAGACATTTTATTCTATTACGTAAGTACAAAAAAGGAGCCTTGTTTCACTTTAAAGAATAGCAGATATATTGCAGCAGAAGATTTTGTGCACTAGAACCTATTTTATCAGATGCATGATATAATCTTCAGTTGGTACATGCGGCATACACACAGAGATTTACAGGGAAAAAACTAAACAGTGGGGCTCAAAGTGTGTAAAATTCAAAGACTGTGTTATTTCTAAGCTCGAAATTATGGAAAGTAAGTCCAGAGACCATCCACTACAGCAGTAATTCCTAACAGTGTAATTTTCTTTGTTATGGTGATTTAACACCTGTAATATGAGAGAAAATCTTGGTCTTGACTGAGGCTGAAACAAATAGAATTAAATCTGTTGATTAATTTTAGGTCAGTAATTGAATCCCAAAGTCTCCTTTGAAGTTCTTTTGTTGAAGAATGTGGACTTCTAGGTCAGCAGCACAGGAAGGATTAGTGCTAGCTGGGGAAGAGTTCTAGGCTAGGTGGCTCATTGATGTGACTGAATATAGACAGCTTCTTATAATCCCTGGGAAGTTTATTTTTGTTTCAGTAAACTCTATGGCTCACAGTGACACTGAGGAATATATTAAAACCAGCTTATTTCAGAGGTATTACAAAGAGGAGGCAGGGAGTGTCAAAGTCGCATAATAGTTTTTATTCCAACCAGAAATCTCCATCGAAATTCTTAAAAACATCAAAGGTTGTATTAATGCATTTTTTCTTTGAGCTTGCTCTTGTCCATCTTTAAGATTATTTTTATGCCTCACTGGAGTGATTATATTGAGGGAATCTCTATCAGCAGCATTAAAATCCTTAGGCAACAAGCATAGGGATTGCTCCTCAGTCTTGACACAGCAAATGGCATTCCTGTTGTGCTGATACAAGCCATGGTTAGATGATCCATGTTGGATGGACAGAATGAGGGTCTCATTGCTAACCACTGGGGAGCTCCTTCCTAATATGCTCTCTTAACCCTTCCTCATGTTGAGAGAAACAGCAGACCAACGCCCACTGGACCTGCCAATGTTGCTGCATCCACACCGGAGCAGCCTGTCTGCTGCCCATATGCTGAAGGAAAGGTTTAAAGAGGAGAGCTTCCTGTACACTGCAAGTTTTGTGGGAAAATATGCTTACCTTCCCCTTGTACCACTCTGTTCATTCATTCATTCATTCATTCATTCATTCATTGATGAGAGTTGCATCCTATCTTTCTATCAAGAAATGGCACTCAATGGGTCTAACACTAATAAAATAGAATATTTACAATAGAAGCATAATTTAAAAATTATACGACAAATATATTAAAAACACAGTTGAAGAAACAGAACGATAAAAGAATGAAAACAGCACCCAACCCAACAAACCAGTTTACATGTCAAAGACCTGCCTGAATAAAAATGACTTTGCCTGCTGGTAGAAGGACAGCAGAAAGGGAGCCAACAAGTTTGCGGCTGCAGACCAACACTGCGCTTCCAACTTAAGGTGGAATTTAATGGATAAGCTGTCCCATCTTATTCTTTAATTATGATTCATAGTTGAAAAGTAAGTTATGTGGGCTGAGGTTTCTCCACTTTTTCTGAGTAATTCTTTATCACACTGTTTCATCTATGTGAAACAGGCCACAAACATTTGCTGTCATCTCACATTTATAATCAGAGAAGGTACACTTGGCTTGAACATTTTGTTTTTAAAGAGAGACATATGAATTGAGTCATACTAAATTAAAGGGAAAACAAATTAGATGTTCAAAAAACCCCAAACCAAACAAAACACTGATGTGGATACTAGGCCTATTTTAACGCAGCTCACCACTGCAAAACAGCATTTGCCTTTCCCGAGAAACTGCATCCACTAGCTATTGTAAGCATCTTTACTCCAAGCATCCATTTACATAGGCTGATATTTGATCCACATAAAAGCATAAATTGCAAAAGTTATGGGACTGAGTTTACTATTCTTTTCCAGTGAGGCTCCTACTGAGCGCCCTGAACTATTCTACTTATAATGCTTCTCGATACAGGACTGATCTGAAATGTACCAACCAGGAGATAAATAGCTACAACAATCACTAGCTTTGCTTTGGTCTGGGACTCATGTTTGAAAACTATGATAAAGTTTAGAAACTGGGCAGCCATCTGAGTGGGATGGTGTAAATTGGTGTCCTGCGACAGCAGGGGGTTGGACCTTCTTGGTTCCTTCCAACTCTACTAGTCTATGATTCTATGCAGGGATTTTTTTTAAGCTTGCCCCCCCCCCCCACCATTTTTGCCTAAGCATAGCAAATATGAATTGCAAATTCTGTTACAGATATAGAAACAAGTTTCCCCCATCGCATATAAAATTTAAGCAGGATGATGAGGAGGATTTTACCTGCTGTGATTTTAAAATAGCAGCATCAATTTCTTCCACTTTCTGAGTTATACTGTCACTCACTGATCTGTACCGTTCATTGTCTTCTGTAACCATTTTGTCTATGCCTTCCCTTGCTCTCCATGGTACTAGCTCCAGCAAAGCACTACTAACTTCATTGAGGGTATCCAATAAACTTTTATGGTCCTTTGCTTCGCTTTTCAGTTCCTAGAGAAAGAACATGTTCCAAAGAATCACATTGGCACAGAAACACAATATGTACAGTTCAAAGGCTCCACTTGGAAACACAATATCCAACTATGTCTTTCTATAGGTACAAATGATGCTGCATCCACAGAAACTAGATTCTGAAGTGTGCACAAGAAAAGAATGCAATAAAAGTTAGGGTTTGTGCAAGTGTAGTTGGGGAACCTGTTATGCCTAATTCTTATGCAAGCCATTGTGCACTCCTTATGCAACTAATAGTGCAACTGTTGTGCAAGCACTTGTGTAATAGAAAGATTTATCAGAGCTCCAATGGCCTTATTTGAGTTTGTGGAGTGTCACTGTTGAAAATTGCCTACTGAAGTTTGGGTTTCTTAATTTTTAAATTAATCTAAGAAGAAAGAACTGGAATGCATTATTGACAACTAAGTTGTAAATGGCATTCTTATTTTCAACTCAACTACTTTAACTTTTGTTATTGTAAGACATTTGGCAGAAAGCAGGTGATTCCTGACAGGAAATAAAGACAATATACAATATTAATACTTTCCTGGAATCCAAAGGGCAGATTACCATTCTTTGGAAAAAATACAGTAGCCAGTCATTAAACAGTTAAGCAATGAAAGAAATCTAATGGCATAGTTACAGGCAAATAATTAGAATTTCAGTGAATAAAAATAATTTGCATAAAAATAATTTGCATCTAGATGTATATTCCTTACAAAATACAGCCGTAATACTGCTGCAAAGCTAAATACATTTTGTGAGTGTAAACCACACAGTCTCAGTTAGTAGACATATATAGGATTACACCATCACATGCCAGGCTGCTATGACCCACAGCTGGAGAGATGAAAGAATAACTACAGAAAGCTGTGTGCTTCCAGCACAATTATTGTGGTTGCTTTTTTCTATGCCATAATAATTACAAGAGTTCATCAGCAGCTTGAAGAGTTGCCAATTTCTTAATCTTTGCCTTGCATAGCTGATGCACAGATCCATCTACTTCATTATGGAACAGAAAGGTGGCCACAAATAGGCTTGTATACCAGGACAACCCACTGTGTCGAATTATGCGGAATTGTCATGTGAACCTGAACTATTGCCTGCAAGTCAGCCTGTTTGAGAGCAACAAGACACCCTGAGAACTTATGGTTTGTATTTGGAGTTGCTGAACTAATAGTGGGTTGTTGTATTGCCAAGTTGGTCTATTGAATCCACCGTAGGCTGCAGAAAGTGGTGAATGAGCCCCTCATAAATCTGTGTAAATATTGCTGAATGTGTTGATAAAATGAACATCCTGCTTCTATATTTACACTCACCTTCTGTCTTTCTTGTGCTTGATTCAGTTCTTTGCCTTTGGGGACCTGAGAATCATATGAAAGTAATTCTACCTCAGCTTTGTCAAGCCAAGTGCAGAGTTCTTCGTGAGTGGAATGCAGCTGACCTGAAAGCTGCAGGGCCTGTTCTAAAGTCTTGGACACATCAGAACTCAACTTAGTGATGTCCTTGTACCTTGCTTTAATGCCTTCCAACTTATCTTGAATTATGACAACTTCATCACCTACAATTCAAAAGGAGTATTATTGCACAAATAAACATGTTCTAGAACATTAAGATCTTTTTTATTCTCTTACATACAGGTGCAGGCAAACAAATCATTCACTCTGATCCATAAACAATATGGAGGCTTCGTTGTGTCCATGCAGCTTCTCTGATTCCACATTCAGTCCTGAAAAAGATGCTGATAAGCATCAATGTTCCTTTGCATTTGCTGACCAATTCCATACATTACAATTAATGAGAATTCCCATTTCTGTAAAAGATTTATGAGGATATATCCATATACACAGATCTCTGGATCAGGGTACTTATTCCTGAGTATGTTTCCGATCTGGATCAAGACTCTGGCTTCATGTCTTTGGAAATATTAATTTGGCTTCAGCAATCAAAGAGTAAGGTTGATGTATGGAATAATGATTCTTTTTTCTTTTTTGCAAACTCTCATAGAGTATGGGAAGACACAGAGAGAGTTGGTTCTGGGGGCTGAAATATATGGGTTGTATTGTTTGTAATTCCCTTGGCAACCGTGTTTATTTTGTTTACTTTAGTCTGTTTTGTTTATGTCAGTTTTTCCTTTGTTCTGTATTTTTTCTACGTAATAATAGATAGGAAGGAAGGAAGGAAGGAAGGAAGGAAGGAAGGAAGGAAGGAAGGAAGGAATAAGCTTGTATGACTCTGGAAAACGTGTGCTATATGAACTTTCAATATATTCCTGACCAGATGACCGAAAGCAGGCTATGGTGAATATTTTTTCAGTTTCCATGAAATTGCTCAACATGCTGGCACAAACTTGGAGCTGACCACTGCATATCTGCAGCACAATCCCTGCAATCTGGGGCCGCCTTGTTAGACTTGAGTTGCTTTTGTAACATTTGGCATGGAAACTATGGGAGCCTCCTCTTCTCACTGCATCTGCACATGCTCTGTCTTGGCCATCTTGAATTTTCTAATAGTTAATTTCAGGTTTGTACGAAATTAGGGCCTTTATTCTGCAATTTGCACAGTCTTATGCATACTGCAGAGTGGAGGCCCACATTCTGTGCAAATTTCCTATTTAAAACACACACAAACACACATACACTGAGCAGCCGGGTTTAGAAATGGAAATCTGCATGCTGGCTCCACTCACATCATAGCAAGTTGGTGCCAGCATAAGGTTGACAGAATAGTAATTTAGGGCTGAGTCAAGAAAATCCATTAGATTTTCACCTCCCCTGTCAGATTCGTCACATAACCCTAGCCAAAAAGAATACTGCGAGCAAGGTATAACAAAAATCCCAAAGTTCTCATTTCCCATAAATGCTGTTCCTTCTGGCCCTCATAGCAGCATACATAGAAAGCACCTCTATCAAAATTCCTTGGGAACAATCTGTAAAATGAGCTTTACAATGCATGTTCTAGTGGTTAGGAAGAAGGTCAACTTTTAAAACCCCCCTTTAAAAGCTGAAGAGTCTTTAGGCCAGTGTCACATATTAAAGCCCTTACTCCCAAAATGGGATTTCGGTCATTGTACTTATTGCTTGAAAATATTTGTTTTCCTGTTCTGCCATGCATCTTCTGGTGAACATCAACTTTCTAGCTAAGAAACCACGTGTGTACATACTAATCTTAACAGAATGTACTAGGTTGAACTACCCTGTGCCTTACTGGCTTGGCTCACAGGAGCACAGGCTTCATTGGACCTGGACTGTCCCTTCCTCCAAGAAAGTATATAGGAACTTGCAGCCTTCAGAATAGCCTTTCCTTTTAGCACCAGGATAGGCAATAGCCAGGGATGATGGGGGCTATAGCTTAATAACACTTGACAGGTCATACACTATGTTTGATTTAATCTATTGAAATGAGCCAGGTGATCCATCAGTTGGTGCACATTGCAGGTAAGAATACATATTCTTTTTCTTTGAAGGATCCAGTTCAATAATTGATTTACCAAGAATAAAAGCCAAAACAAAATCTGTACAGTTCACTATTGTATAATATACCTTTTAGTTAACAATGTAAGTTCTAGTTCTGAAACAAATCTCCCCATCCCCTCCCTCCCAGCGCCAAACTATGTATATCTTGGAGACTTCATAGAGTTAGAGACTGGAAAATTTAGAAGATGTTGGTCTACAAACCAGACATGCTGTGTGCCATTGGAATGCAACTTTCCCACACTATAGCACTAGTGGTGTGGGGGGAGGGAAAGGCAGCCTCTCTTATAGTAATTAGGTAGACTAATCACTCAGAGTTCACATTTTGGCTTTACAGAAATTAACTGCAATGTTCTTTTGCTTAGTCCTCCCACCCACCACCAAGAAAAGAAAGGGCTAGGATGGGGGTGGAGGGCTGGAATCATAGTGTCTACAGGACAAATACTCATTGCACCACAATGACCTCACCTATTTAAACAGCATTTTATGATTTCCTCAAGCTTACTGGCTGAGATCCAGTGTGGCATGTGGCTTGATTCCACATACAACTATTGTTGGTTTAAAAATGACAAACTGCTACGCCAAAGTAATAAAAGGGGTGAACAACTACGGAAGCATGAAAGCTATAAATACTTGCATAGCCACATGCATTCAGTGGGAGGGCAGGCAACCACCTTCCTGTTTGCCCCAAAGGGGGCTGAGGCTTCTCAAGTACTCCAAGGGAATACAACTAGAAGCCCCCATCGCTCCCTCTACTACATTTACCTTAAAAACGTCTCCACGACCACTTTCTTCTACCTCAACAGTCCCCAAAGGTATCTTACAAGTGGACTGGCATTCTCAGTCCCTGGAAAAACATCCTTCCCTGGCAGAGGGATTACAAATTCCAGAATCCCCAGAGGAAGGAAAAACTCCACTCATCATTCCATTGTGGAGAAGGAAGGCCTTCCTTTTTCTTGGCAAAAGCAGCTTATGATAAGTACTTTTCCTGTTGAGGATTCTGGGATTTGGAATTCCAGCTGACATCAGGACTAGAACCTTCAACCCAAGCTCTCCTTGCCCCTTTGGAGTCCCTTGGGGAAGGCAGAAACAGAGAGGTGTGACTCGAGCCAAGGTGTTCCACCTTGCCTTTGATTGTGTTCAAATTCTTAAGTACTTCTGTTCAAATTGTTGTGATACCACTGAGGACCAGTGTGGAGTAGTGATTAGAATGCTGGACTGAGACTTGGGAGATCTGGGTTTTGGGTCACGTTCAGCCATGGCACTCACTGGGTGAGTGGGCCAGTCATGCACTGTCAGCCTAACCTACCATGCAAGGAGCTTTGTGGGATAAATGGAGAGGGGGACAAGAGAGGAGCTTCCATCCTGACACTGCAGGATCAACCATCCCTGCAACAAATCCAGTCCTTGCCTCCCAGAATCTAAAGAAGACTTCCAGGCAGCGGAGTTTGCATACCTGCAGAAGAGATTACTGGGTATTTTAGAGGGATGATATGTTCCATTTTCTATCTGAGCAACTCTTTCTAGAACCCAGGTCCCTGTGATGCTGTACAAAGCAAGCCATGTTTTGCTTACAGCTGTGGCTTTCCCACAGAGAGAGTTTGGTGTGAGGTTGGGAAGATATATGCCTAGGAGTGTATTGGGTGCAGAGATGCCCATGGGGATGCATGTCCTGGGGAGTGAGAGGGCAGAGGACTGTCCTTGAAGCTGACCCAAAAGGAAGGGAAGAGACATGTGCAAGAGTGAGCAGGAGGGTGTGTGCTGGAGAGTGGCAGGGCAAGGGTGAACTGCGGCTGCTGCAGATGTTCCAAGTGGGGCCTGGCACAGAGGATGGGACAAGTTTCTCACATCCAGGAGACAAGGCAGGCATGAGGGAGGGAGGATGGACAACCAGGGCTGAGAAAGCAGGGGAGGGGGGTTTCCATTGGAGGGTAGTGTGTGTGGCCATGGGTACTTTTCGAGGCAATGTGGAGAGGGGGCAATAATATGAAGGAGGGAATGTGGGATGAAGGCAAGTGTAGGATGCTGGAGAAGGAAGTGACAGATGGGCTGCAAGCCAGACAAGCCTATGCACATGATGCAGGGCAGGAAGAGACACTTCACAGGTTGGTGGTCCAGAGGAGTAGATGCTGGTTACAGACTTGGTGGGAGAGGGGGAGGGCAAAGCATGCTGGCACACATGCGCTCCATTTGAATGCATGCATGGGGAAACACCATGTGCAGTTTCCACGCACAGTGAAGCATCAGTAAATCTTCATCAAGGGATGGATGGGGGAAGAGGTGGGGCTGTGGGTACAGATGCTGTGATGTGGAGAAGGAGTGCAATGGAAAGGGCAATTGCTAAAGGCAAGCCCATTCACTAAGCAGCCACTTTGGCTGAGGGATAGGGGGAAAAAGAGAGCGAGAAGGGAGGGATGGCAGAGAATACACCCAGGGAACTGTGTGGACCAGTGAAAAAGAGGCAGGCAACATAAGCAAGAGTGGAATTGAATTTCAACAGCATGGGATTAAACTTCAGAGATGATGGATGGTGGGATATATGCCAACAGTGGGAGAACTAAGAGGGGAGGGGAGAAACTATGCTAGCCCAGGAAGTACTTAATTGTCTCTCAGGCACACTGAGGTAAAAAACCACAGGACGATAGGAACCACAAGGGTTGTTTCTTGTGGCATCTGAACCCAGCCCTTGATTGCTATCAGTCATTCAGTTTCTTAAGGCTCTCACCTGTAGTTTGTTTGAGAAGCTCCAATCCGTTTTGTATAGCCTGATCCACATTCTGCTTTCTGAACAGAATCTCTTCTTGCAATACCTAGGAGATTGTAGGGGTTTAGATAACTAGATAGACCAACAGAAGTCACATCTGAAAGTCTTTCTATTTTATAAACAAATATTCTCTCTTTACAAAAAAAAAAAAAAAGGCGGGGGAAGGATTAAAATCAACAAATAAATTATACAGAATATAAGATTCAATAATGATAATACAAATTAAAAATGCAAAGGATGCAAAAATTAAATAATGTAAATAATAATGCTATTTACGGTAAAATAAAATCAACAGAAATAAAATAAATACCAGCATCTCAGTGTGTTGTTTCCCTAGTAAGTCAGTATTGTAGTCTTGGACTGCCAGTTTTCTCAGTTTCTCATGTACTTCGTTCAGCCAATTCATCAATTCGACTTCATCTTCTCCAAAAATTTGAGCATTGCAATAGGCTTGCTGCAGAAGCTCAGCCCTACTGCTGCTTTTCTCATGAATTTCAGTGTATCGAGCTTCTGAAGAATCTAGTTTTTCCTGCACCATTTCTTTATCCTCCCTCGAACTCAACTTCTTTAAAGCCTTACCAATCTTAATAGCTTGCTGTAAATGTTTATTGTGAGTGGTGATGTCTTCTTCTAAGTCCTAAATGGAGTGAGTAAAGTAGTAAAAAGAAAAAAAATGGGACAGGAAAATAAACAAAGGCTTATAACCAAATATGAATAAAATGAAAAAGCAACAGAAATAACATAATTTCAATGAAAAAGAAGTGTATGGGGTGAATAGCGGAGCTTACAATTTTGTTCAATGAGTAAGTAGAATAAAAATTGCCTAAATGAATGGCGTAAGAAGATCTTACTTTATGTTGAGAAATTTGCTGCTGTAGTTTGGAAGCCTGTGTACCGATCGGTTCAGAATTTGAAAGCCTCTTCTCAGTGGTGGTTAGCCATTCAACCAGCGGTTCTAACGTTTCATGGAACTGCTGTGCTACAGCTGAGATACCTTCCAGCTGACGATTCCTACAATAAGCCCAGACCGAAAAACCCCAAAACAGTTTTGAGATGAAGTATGTGAGGAGTATTCAAAACTTTAACAAATCTATGGTTCAGAATAACCTTCTGCGGACTGACAAACAGAAATGAGTGCATATTTAAACATACTCTGGCCTGTACTATGTCATAATATTTTATAGCCTTTGCTTAATCACATAGTTTAACTACTCCCATGTCGATTAGTGGAAAAGAACTAGATAGCAGTATAATGTACTTATACTGAACACGAATACTGCTCTAAACTTACTATCACTGCTACAAAGGGTGCCACTGCTGGTTAGAAGGAAGGCAGTGCCATTGAAAAAGGCTGCCTTTTGTCCAGTTCTCCCACTCAGCTCTGAACCATTTGATTCAAACTTGAAGCAAACTGTGATGACTATTTCTATGCCCCATCAGTGATGGACAATGCCGGAAAGGAAAGTCACGTTGTTTTGATACCAAAACACAGGATTAATCTGAACCAAACGTTACTGGGGGTGGAAGTTGTGAGAGGAAGGAGGAAGGATTCAACACACGGCTGCCATCTGGGGTAGCAGCTCCACATTCTTTGCCACACATAATTTCATCCAATGATGTAAAATATGAAATTGAGATGGACTGCACACAGTATTCCTGTTCTACTAAAGTGGAAGGAAAGTCATTGAGCTCACCAATATCTGAGAGAAAAATTTCCTGTCACTGAAATATTTGGGCTGGCTCCAGACTGCCCATGGGCAGAATTCTATCCACAGGACTCTCCTGGGAGGTGGGAGAGGAATTTTTTCATTTCTTCTTGCTCTGTGTCCCCTACAAAGTTGCTCCACAGTGACGGAGCAGGGACATTCCAGAACAACATGTGATGGTGCAGGGGTCAATATGGGAAAAGGGAAAACAAGCAGAAATTGCTTTCTCCCACTCCTCCATCAGAAGCATCTGCTGGATCATGGACCTTTTTGCAAACAGAAGAGCTATTCCATTTGTGGAAAGGCAGGACTGAGTCCAACACTGTGTCTTTTTTACATTCCTCAATTTAATATTTTACATTCCTCAATTTAATATTAGTAGGAAATTTCCAGTGGGGAATTCTACTAAATTAGTGCATTGCTGGACCAGTGTGGAATTGGGGAGGTAAATTTCATAATTCATGTATGTGGGTCCCCGAGTTGGGCCAAAAAGTTTTGCTGCCTGAGATGAGCAGTAAATACTACCTTCTCCAATCTGAGTGCTTAGTATCAAAGGCCTGCCAACTTTTTCTAAGGTATGAAATCCCACTAGCACCACTCTTGTGGCAGAAAAAATAACTGTAATAATAAAATGAATAACTATCAACTTTCTGCAGTCCCATGATATCCTAATAGCTGTCCTGAGGCATCTACCTCATTTTGTTTAATAGTAGAGCTGCCCCAATCCAATTTCTTTAGACTTGTGTATGGGATTTACCCTCCCCTCTTCAGCTAAGTTTTTTACCCTTAGTTCTCCAGCCTTGATCCAGCTAAAGAAATTTGTGTGCAGCAGCAGAATTGCTCATGCTTATCACCTGCTGAGTCGGAAACCATAGGCCTGGATGACTTCAAGTCCAAATATACCTTCAAGTGTGGTTGGGTGTTTTTAAAGCCAAAATAAGCCTCAACAAGCTGATCTGGGCTTTTAAATAAATGCAAAGGAAAGAGATGGCTCCGTGTGCTATACATGGTTTAAGCAGGGTAGGAAACCATTTGGACCTGTGGGTGCATTTGTCAATTAGAGAAATTGGCCTGAGTGCAACTGTGAAATGAGTGCCTTGGATGGGCTTTGCTAGTCACAAAGGACAAATGAGTTGCCCAGAAGCATTCATGGAAGACTAACAGGGCAGCCGCTAGAGGCTCCCACTTCACTCTGAAGCAATTCCAGCAGCCGGAAACAATATGGAAATTATCTCAGTGGGCACCAAAATTTAGATAAGCATCTCACTGAGCGCAGTACAATGCAGATGGCTACCATCCCATTGCGTACCACAACGGGATGTGGATTTGGATGCAACTTCTGATCAGCAACTTTCTGATCCAGATTCCTGCTTCTGTGTGGATCCCAGTTCCATCTCTGCTGCTGTTGCAGTTTCTCCATTTGAGGTGGGAATTAACCTGCCAGGGAGATGGTCTGCACCTGTTTGGCAGGGTGGTGAACTGGGTTTGGATGACACATGGTGCCCACTCCAAGATCGATTCCTCTCCCACATTCCTCTTTAACTACAAGAGGATGGTTTGCGGAGAAGGAGGGGGCAGGTGACTTCAAGGAGGCAAGCCTCCTGGTGCATCTCCTCTGACTACAGCTCCCTTGCCACCTTTAGCCACACATCTTCAAATAGTTCCCATCTCAGTTTGACTGTAAAGTGGAGCCTGTGCACTGCTCTGCTCTGTTGGCAGCACTTGGTTCTTGCCAGTTCTGGGTTTGGACAGAGTCAAGGGTCCTGTTTTTTTTAAATGTTATATGTCTTTGGGGTGTTTCCATCCCAGTGTGTAGAAACCCACTCTTGGCCTCTTCCTAGGCCTGTTTTGGAGCCCCCCACCCCCCACCATGTCCTCATGCTAGACATCCATCTCTGCTAATCAAGGGGGTGGTTACATGATATTGTGTTCACTGGATCACCATGCTTGCATTTCTAAAAATGAATACTGTGATATATTCAAACCCATTTTTCTCATTTTGGACCTAAATCTTCCCATCTGCAGAGCAAAAATGTTTAGATAGCTTCAAATTATATAGTTCCCCATGCTGCTTCTAGGAGTACGCCCTGTTATATCCACATATGAAAGAAAACTTTTCAAGTACCTCATTTCTGCCTTATCGAGCAATGCATCCCATCTGCTGTCCAGGAGGCTCAGCTGCTTCAAAATCTTCTCTTTATCGGCAGGCTCTGCTGACTCTGCAATTTTCTCCCCTTCACGCTTGATCAGTTCAACAGTGGGTTTGCGGTCATCCAGCAATCTCTGGAGAAGCTGGAGACAAAATAATCAAAAATCAAATTGCCAGGAAATGACTGTTTGCTGCAAGGTTGTAAAAAGATGAAGAGGTAGATTCTTCAAAGTTTGGTTTACTGGCAAAGCGGGTAAGTTTTAAGAAACAACTTTCTGAGATGAGATGGCAAGGAATGCATAGTGTGCCTGTCTTGCAATGCAAATACCATCAGTTGCATAAACCACCATTCTTATTAGAGCTGACAAACGAAGCCAATCTTACTGTTAGCTGCAGAGTTTTAGCTTCCTTCCTTCCATAAATTTTTATTCTTGTTTCTGTTCTGTGTTATACTGAAAGCTCAGGGTGAACGACTAATATCTATACATTAATTGCCTTTTATGAAGTAAAATGCTTACCTTTGCAGGAAAAAATGTAATGGGATATTCTATAACTCATGGCAGCAATTCATTATGACTTCAAATGACAGGAATACATTCTCTCAAGGAATAGGCACGGTTATGGTATCAAGCCAAAGAAAAATATATTGAACTGTGATGCATCTGCCTAGTCAAATGTAAGATATGCATCCTAGGAAAGCCACTGTAGGAATTTATCTCTCCAAAAGAAGTGCATATATCCAAGTAGGGATCAGCAACATAAATCCCCTGGAAGAAAACTAATTTCCCCTCCCTGTCTCAGTTGCCATTCCAAAGGCAGGTGGTCTAATATGGAAGAAGCCATGGCAAAAGGACCTGCAGTCCCCTTTGGAAGATGGGCCTAGTCAGTTACCCTCTGTTCCTCCTTCTTATGAAACTAGGATATTAGCACAAACCAAACATTTAGTAAATTGGGAAAATGAATGCATGCTGGAGCAACAATATTACATCTGCATCCCCTGCCCTTGGCTTCCATGTGCTTGTTGTAAGATCTCACAGTACAGATTGTGCACATTCCCAGTAATACATGATCTTCACATACAGAGAAAGAAATCTCACTTTGTTTGGTATACCTTAGCTGAATTCTGGGTGCATTGATTATGTACCATGTAGGTACTATTGAAAATGTGTGGAGCTAGGAATAGTGAAATGGTGTGACTGATGCACTATTGTACACTGACGTTCCCTAAGCAGTCAATAGGCTGAATCTGTGCACAGCACGACTGTATTGTGTTGTATTTTACAGAACTGTTGCACAAAGGTGGAATTTTGTGAGCCGCCCCGAGGCTTTGTTGTGATGGGGGCGGCAGAGAAATGTTTTAAATAAATAAATAAACTCCTAAGGATGTTCCCTGACTTTTCAAAATCAAAATCAAAACCTTCAATATAATGATAGCTGCAACTTCTGAGTACACAGTTCAGGTTTAGTGTATAAACCGTAGTTCTATTTGTTCAACTAGGAAATTGGGCATGCTTAAGCATATCTGGCTTGTGTCCCAATCTATCTATCAGTATATCTGCACGATAATCTCTAGTACGATTTCCTTATGCACAACTGCATCTTTGGCAGCTCATTTGTCCAAATAGCCTGAGGACTTAATTCACTAAGCATCATACAGTGCCTCTTCTCCCAGGGTTGCCTTCAATGTGACTGCCAAGCTCTCTTCCTGCTCTTTTTGTTTAGCCCATTTGCAGAACACAGCTACATGCCACAACTTGCTTCTTACCACCCCATTCATTTATTGGAAGAAGAGTGCTTACAGATTTGGTTGCCGAGTTTCACATTTACTGCACTATTGCCAACTCAGTTTTTAATGTGAGCAATCCTTCTTAAAAGGGAGAGTACAGTTCTCCCACTCTAATGGGGGTCACAGGCCATTAGAGTGTGATGCAGGAGTGTTAGTTGCTATCAGGTGAAGATGCCATGGCCTCCTGGCACACAAAAGTGTCACACTAAATCAGACACTGAAGAGATTCTAAAAAAATCCATTTGAGACCAAAAAAAAGCAGGAGAAGAAGGTGTGGATCAGAAATGCAAGCACAGATTTCATCTCCCACTAATCCTTATCTGCAGACAGACACGTAAGAGTAAGGAAGGGAGAAGCTCATCTGCCCCCACACGGAGTGGCAAATGTGGGTACAAGGAATGGGAGGAGGGGATGGTCAAAATGATGAAAGAGCACTGAAGCTCTGACAGAATTCTGAACTTTATTTCAACCCAAGGGAGTAGCTCTACAGGGTGAAATTAATTTTTTTCACCATCATACTGCCTTTCAAGCTTCACAAAGCTTTTGATCATTGAATTTCACTTTTCATTTGCAAAAATGGAAGATGAATGATGCCAAGGCCAAATACAAGTTTTTTAAACTTTTCTCTGCAGCACATACAAAACCTGCTTGAATAAAAGGACGGCTTATGGACACAGGAACTCTGTTGCACAGGAAAAGTCCTGTCCCCTGATTCCCAGTTGACATATTTTCCATTTATCTCAATGAAGTGAACTAAGACACACATACCAAGGCATGGTTTGAAGGCACATCATGCAATCATCTTAACAGGCGTGGTTCTAGTCACTGCCTGGGTGGGAGACCACCTGGGACCCCCACGAATGCTGTTCTGAGCTCCATAAGGGAAGAAAGACCATATATACATGTCAGTAAATGCAACAGTATGTGTTCAGATCGGATTTCTCTATTGGAATGGACAGAACATTTCCAAGTGGACACTGAGATGGTCATACTCCCAAAGACTTTTTTGACTGGCTTGAAGCCAGGGACTGGCTTTCCCTGCCAGTTTTTCCTACTCTCCTGCCCACTCCAAAGCCATCCCTGCCCCTCCTCCCAAATTCCCTCCATCCTTCTCTTTCCTTCACCTGGCTGATGGGTGTGGTGCTTTCCACTGTTACCTGATCTGAGTAACAGGGCACACAGCACTATGGAAGGCTAGTACTTTCAGGAGTTTCAAAGTTATACCTCTGATACACTATTAGGCACGTATCCATCCATCATGCTGAAGAGGTTGTAAGAAAAAATGTCTTTAATATGAGAATACATAACTAACTTTCACTTACTTTCTGTTCCTGTATTTGGGCCTTCACAACTTTAAACTCAGCAGATGGGGGCTTCTGATTAGCCACAAGGTCTTCTGTGTCACTCAGCCAGCTAAGTATAGATTCAACAGCATCCTGAAACCTCCCACAGTGGAGTAATGCTTCTTGCAATTGTGCTGCTCTTTGAGCAACCTAAAAAATTCCAAACAAACCCATACATTGTGAACAGCATCCTCTTCCTCCTCTCTTACCTTTTAAACATGACTCTGGGAAATAAGAAATGTTAGCAGAAAGGACAACAATTTCAACTCAAGCATCTTCTGATTGATTTGGTGTCATCAATGCATCTTGGTAATTATTTAAAATTATGTCAACACAAGTATAAACACTGTGACAGTCTGCATCTGGAAAGCCATAAATTCTCAGAGTGTGGGGGAGATGTGCCTAAGGATAATCCTCAGAGCTCTTCACTGGCTCTTTCCTTGCATGCATCATTATTTGGACAGTAAGCAAAATGTCTGCTCAGTCACCTCTGGTAAGCATGATATATAAGGGTGTAGGTACCAGGAGGTATATCCATTATAAGTGATTAACACAGACTGATAAAACAACCCTCTATTTTCTATAGGCTTTTGGATCCTATTTTCCAAGGAACTTTAAATTATGCTGTATGTGTATTTGATAAACGGTATCCTCCTTCTGCAGGAGCTCTACATGAAAATTGGAGTGCATTTGGGCTTTAGACTTGAAGAGATGACATTGTGTTATGCAGGCCCTAGATTGGCTACCACAAAAATATTTCATAGTAGCCCTGTAGGGTGAAACAGCAGGGGAGGGGGAGCAACAGCAAGCTAAGAACAATGAAAAAACAAGTGGAGTACCTTTTTGTTGAGAGTTTTCCATCTTGTGTTAACATCTTCAAGATCATGCTCAAGGTTATCAATACTAGTGTCTTTAGCAGCACTTTGAATAAGGCCTTGACCCAGCCAATTTACATCCTGTTGCTTAACCTGCAGTGGTTCAATTTCTTCTTTCTCAAATACCTGCAGATATAAAAAATGTAAAGAGACATTTGGACTATTAAGTCTGAAATATTTTGAAGATAAACATCAACAAGAGCAAATACCAGTAGTAAAACTGTACAGCATGTACAGAATAAAGTGTTAAAAGTTTAGCTACAGAGTATAGATGTAAAATTGCTTATAAAAATATAAACACAGAACAATTCAGGGTAAATTACATAGACAGCAAACTAAGTAAGAGTTGACAAACTACTATTACAAAAGCAAGGACAGAGACTATCTTTAAAAGGAAGACACAAATGAAGTGGTCCATATTTAACCCTCTTAATGTAGATGTTCAAAGAATTACTCAAAGCCAAAGGTATGTTCAATGGTCACATATGCCAGGTTGAAGATTATGTACTGGAGAAAGTAATAATCTAATGACATGGAGGATATATTAAAAGTAGCATTTAACTCTGCTATATGAGCATGCATCCCCACAACCCATCCTTCTATACAGATAACGTTATCCTTGCATATACACCCCAGAAACAGTAACTCAGAGCCTGTTCACACAAGGAAAGTTTGACTAAGAAAAAGTATTAATTAGGGTGGGCATGGAAAAGCTTTCAGGGTGGACTGGGGAAATTAAGAGATCAATCCTCTGGGTCAGCATAAAATGTGCTGGTGCAAGTAGCAACTGGCACACCTGCAGTTTCAACGTGGTCCAATGCTCTCAGCTGTTTGGGGTTGGGGTTGGCCTGTGGGCTCCTCACCTGAACTAGATGGACTAAATGCTCGACATACCAACAAAGAGAGGTCTGCCACCAGTCATGATTGCACACCGGAGGAATGCAATGTCCTGGCAGGGATGATGGCACAAAGCCATGAAGCGCTGTGGCAGTACCAGCCCTGGGTTTGGGTTTTAGTTAAGGCACAAGAGGATGAACTGATCTTGTGACTGAGCAGCTGTAGCAGCATTACCTTTGTATGATCATAATGATTGTTACAGAAAAGCCCAACAAAGGATAAGAGATAATGTAACTGTATTTCACAGGTGGTCCCTTTTGGCATCAAATCCAAGGATATGTCAGGGAATGAGATCATCGTAACAGAAGTAACTCTACCCACCAACTTAAGTGGGGTTCATCTGAGGACATGGACAGGCAAATGACACAAAATATTCTTGGTTATGAAAGGGGGGAGATTCTGAAAACAGAAGGCACAACCTTGGCTTTAAAACTTCTTACCCTGGTAGCAACTATTCTATTCTTCTCCCCACATCTGGCTGTAATCTCATTATGGTGAGTAATGCATTCTAAAGAAAACTGTATTGTAATACTGAGCTGTAGTATTAGGGTATTATTAGTAAATATGACTTGCTTCTTGCATGCATAGATTTGTTTTAGTTGCCAGTAGAAAACTCTCTTCTTCTAGTTCAAGGAATGTTACTATACCAGTTGGGTGCATCTATACAGAAAGCCAGTACAGATGGAACATGTCTCATTTTCAGACCTAGGCCTGAAAGTCCCCAAATGGTCAAAGTACTTCCCACACAATCTCAGAAGCTGAAATGAAGTACAAAAAAAGTCTGAAAGCCAAACACATTCACATCTTTTCCTCAGACAGGAGGCATGAGGTGTATCCCCAAACAGTTAAAATATGTTCAACAGTATCTAAAAAGTAACAATGGGATACATGCAGAGTTTAAAAAATGATAAAAGTCTGAAAATTATACTTCTACACATTTTTCTTCCAAAAATTGGAGACACAAATTGTTCACCAAAATGGTTAATGCTATTCTTTCACCCCAGCTGGTAAACGAGAAGTTGGCACGCACATACCATGATTTATTAAAAGTCTTGCAATCGGGACATTTTTGCACCTAAAAATAAGAACGCATGTCATATCGTTTACTTCACAGTAATTTTACCTCATAATAGAGATCTGCATACCAGCAAACAGAAAGCAGAATGCAAGCCATATGTACTCACACAATGCTATTTTTGGTGCACCCAATAGCTCTTTTGAAGAACATTGTGGGAAAAGAAGTGGAGTTTTCAGAACTCTTGGAAAACATAATCATTATGAGTAAGCACATATAACATTTTAAAAGCAAGCAGTAAGAACTCTTGCCTTTGTTTCACAAAGTAAAATATTGCATGTGGAACTTCTCTTTACTTTACAGCAACTGCAGTCCTACTTTGGTGGGCATCTTTCATCTTTGTGCTTTGACAGACATGTACAATCTCCTGTTCTGTGTGACAAGTCACTTTTGAGATTTCTTTAGTTTTAGATAGATTTTACCATGTAGAATGGGAGACTGCAACTCCAGTCTCCTTAAGCCCATGGAACTCATCACACAGTTCTTTAGGAGACAAAACCTTATTTCTAATTCAGAAGTCCTTATCTTTTAGAGATAATCCACTAATTTGAGCAAGTGCTTCTCTGAGATCTGTTGCTTGAGAAACACACAAGCACAAAAGGAATAGAACAAGGGTTATGGTTTAGCTAGAACAGTTTTGCAACAAGCCCTGAAACAGACCTGTTCAAAACAGAAAGAAGAAAAAACAAAGATTGCAGAACTCATAAGCACCCTCACTTATTTCAAGGCTTTACTTCAGCCACCACTCAGAGAATGTTACAAAATCATTTGTAAAACATCTTCCTCAGAACTATTTTTTGGCATGGAGATGCAAGAAAAGCATTCCAGCATATGCAACAAGCCTTGAATCTGTATACTTTGGAAATCACAGCAATCTGGCCCTTGTCAATTATCTAACCCTTATCGGTCACTTACACCTCTATGACTAATATCCTATGCATGCTTGCTTAGGAGGAAGCTCCACTGAGTTCAGTGGGGCTGACTCCCAGGAAAGTGTGTAAACAGTTGCAGCCTATGTTACGTCAAAGCTGAATAAATCAGGCCTATCTGCCCTTGAATGGCATTGGCTGCTTGAAAGACAAATTGTGTTTAAAAAGGGATGGAGCAGGCCGGAGGGAGCGCAACTTCAATGTAGAGTGGAAGCATTCCAAATGAAGGGTAACAGGCACCATCTGGACACTAAATAACCATGCACCAAACAGCTGGAAGTAATCAACTCTGTCACAAACTGCCCTTAATCAATTTACCAAAGTTACCATCTCACCAATTTTTGCCTTCTAATGACACGTTGGGCAAATGATTTTAGGGACCTCCTTGGATAGAGTAACAAAATGCAAGCATTCACAGTGAAATTATCAAAGAGAACCTCAATAACTGCAACAATGAGGACAACACATTCATGCTCTGAATTACCTTATTAGACAACATGCCATTGCAAACTGTATCCAAGTTTTGCTCTATTTTTTTGCTTCTTGTACAGAAATTTAACTCAGTGGTCATTGGATTTCCTTTTTGACATGTGCTATGATCAACCTCCAAAGACTGACTAGACAATTCGATTTCACCTGAATCAGTATGGATATTATTATGTCCCTCTGCGTCATGCAAAATCATGTATTTTGCCAACTTCCTATTTCTAGCATGAAAGGATGCATCTTCATAATAAATATCTATGTCCTGAGGTGAAATGTCCAAGAAGTCCTTCTTAATCATCCTGTCATCGGTTTCTAATGTCTCATTAACTTCAGAGCTGTTGCATACTTCCTCTCTGTTTAAAAGAAAATCATGTTGTCTCTCACTGTCCTGGAGCCATTTTGCATGTGCTAAGAGGTTCTCTTGCAAATATGTCAGTGGACTGCAATGTCCATCTCCTCTCTCCTGCTTAACTTCAATGTTCCAGAGAGATTCTTGTTCTGTTAGTTCTATCTGTGAAGCACTGTGCAATTTCAATCGGTAGTGCCCATTGACAGGGGCACTTCTGGAAGTAAGCAGTGAAGTTTGTGGCTTGCTGCTAGAAATAGTAGAACAAGCTCCAAATTTATCTACTAACTGAGTATCTTCTGCAGAAGACATGCTCCTAATCTGAGTTATTTGCTCTGCTACCACATCTTGCTTTTCTTCTTTTTCCGCTGGAGGACTACACAGACCAGAATCATCTTCTTCTGAAGTTAAAGAATTAGTTCCATATCTACCCTCACCTGTTGCTCCTAAGCCTAACATATCAATAGTCCCAGCAACTGAAGAGTCACTTTTATTTGCATAGTCTGCAAAATTTGGTGGGACAAGCATCCTCCATGACCTCCTATGTTCTTTCTTTTCTGTGTGATATTTTGCCTTGGGCAAGCCAGCTGTTCGAATGATGTCGCTGTTCAGCTTAAGGGCATCAAAGATCATTTTTTCATCCAGCTTATTAGCTTCCCGTCCTCGGAGCTCAAACACACTGGATGAAGAGAGTGTACCATTGGAGCACAAGGTACTAAGATCCAGTGTTCTATGACTATATGGCAAAGTCCGATCTGAGAAATGCCTGGAAGAGAGGCTGCCTTTCGAACCTGAATCTATCTGTTCATTCAGTCGAACTGTGTCATAGATTGACCTCTGAGGAACGTAACAGTCCTCAATATTTATATCTTCTTCTTCTTCATCGCCTTTTCCTACACAAGGAGGATTCTGGCGTAAACAGTCTGGCCTGCTTAGCGGCTTCCCCATTTTGGGGCTATTTACAGATCTAGTACTACTACTCCGCTGCCTTATGAGAGACGTGCAACACACACAGAATAAAAGATATTAGAACAGCATTTTGAAAAACTTCAGTACACTTGTCTTCAGCACAAAGATGCATACATACTAGATACAGGACATAATTTATGAGGTGATTAAGGTCATAGTCAGTGCATCTGCCTAAATGAAAACTATGCGTTTACCCGGCTGCAATTTAAACACTCCTCACCCTAAAGTATAAAGTGCCCAAGGAGGAAGAGGGAAGGATGAAAAAACTTTGACTACTACACAATTGTTACTGAACACATTCATAACCACCCCAATACGAATGAACCCCAACAGGAAAGCCCCAACAAATCCTGAAGTGGCTCAAACACTCAGAATGTCCCACACAGCATCCCATTTTGTTTTTCAGGTCAAAATGTATGTCTTA